TTCAAACACCAGGTGTTCATACAGATACCAATGACAAGATCATAGTAGAGGCACCTGTGTGCAAAATTGGCACCTGAAACCCACTACTGTACAAGCAGTAGATTTGTATCATGAAGTGTCATACATGTACATTAGGAGTTGTAAACTCAGTCACATGACAGAACTATGTACACATGCTCCTAAGTCAACAATATAGCTTCATACACTTACCTACCAGAAGGTGCAGTTTAAAACAAAAATGCCTCTGCTGTCCCAAACTGACACACTAGCTACTTACTTTGTTGCTACCACAAAGGTAAAGAAGGGGGTTTCAAGAGTCTCAAACCATGGAAAAAAATGAGAGAAGTTAAAACTCTGGTTTGGAAGTTGCCTAAGAAAAACCTTGATAACAGCAAGTTGTAACCTTAACACCATAGTTCAAAAGAAGATTTCATTGAATTTCATTTTTTATTAGACTAGATTCCCCAATTCCCCTTTAATATCCTCTGCCAAAGTTGTCACCTGCGGATACACAACCCAGGTTCTCATCCACTAGAAATTCTTTAGATTCACCAAGCTGCTGCACTACAGGTATCTTGTGCTCGGTACATGGTATCTTGGATTACTGGTAACATCATAGACTCTTTCTCAATAACTCACTGGTGAATTACTACTACATACTTATTTGACTTAAAAAAAGGTGACAAACAAGCAGTGAAAATTTGACTTGCATCATCTTGTATATTTAGACTTAATATTTCCTACCCAGAAATAATGGCAGTTGGCCAAAAACTCATTTTGCTGGTACATGTAAGTGTCCCATTCTGTAATTGTTTCCCACCCCAGTTATTTTGGGAGACATGATAAGATGTCTCAAGGGCCACTTATTGCCTATCATGCTGATTGCATAGCGAAGCTTTTGGGATTTACCCTGTTTCAAAGGACATTCTCCACTTTGCCTACACTCGAAAACAAGTGACAGTACAAAATCAGTTTGGGTTGATTGCTGCTCTGGGTATCAATCTGGCTTAACTGTAAAAAAAACTACAAAAATCACACAAGTAAGTTCTATAAAAAAAGGCAAAATTTCATTAAAACAAAACAGGGATTTTAACAGTTTGCACATGCGCTGTGTACCTCAACTTTAGGTACAGGTGCCTGTACATGGGGTTAGGTACAGGTCCAGACCTGAACCTGTACCTACACAATTTGACCATGTGTTCTTCTGAATTCCTTCAATAATGAAACATGAATAAACTTGATAGTCAAGGGTAGGTTTTCGTTTATGGAGAATATTAGACAAAATATGGGCAAAACTAAGATGTTTTACTTTTCATCTCAAAATAGCACTTACGAAACAGGAAAAACATTAATTTCATTAGTTTTCTACCTTCGTACACCTCTACTTAATCAAGAATGTCAACAAAATGCAACTTTATTTAAGATCCTTGATGCTAGATTGTCCTACTTTGGTTTGGCAGCACTGATGACAATAGACAAATATCAACAAGAAGCCATAGGCGACAATTCTCCGTGAAGTATTATATATTGCAACAAAAAGAAGTAGCCATTGGCGACAATTCTCTGTGAAGTGTGATAAATCGAACAAAGAAAAATTGTTTAAACGCGCGTCGGCTCAGTCATCTTAAGACGCAACAACCAATCAGAGATGCGAGATGCCTACACGTGACGCGGGAAGGGCGCGCGATGCCCGAAATATTTTTGCGTCAATATTCAGCGCCGTGATTCAAGAGATTAATACCCGGAAACAATTTTTTCTTGTTTTGAACGCATTAACATGCATTTACGCTAATCTAGTATGATTCAGGGTACTTTTTTTTTAACCTGCCATGGCCAGATTATCTAAAGATGTGTGTATTGTGTGTACAATCTATAGAAAGAGAAATGTACATCAGGTCCGATCATCCGATTTTCACGTTTCGGTTTTTGGACTCGGTTCATGAACGTATTTTGGTTTGGCTCCTGGAATGTGCGAAAAAAATGACTCCCGGGACTGTCTACAGGGAACACTCGCACATTCGCGGTGTATCAGGACAGCGCGACTGGTCGTCATTAGCGCAGTAACAGTTGCATAAACGGACGAAACCATTTACAAAGAAATGGGGATGTTTCGAAAATAAGCATTTACTCCAATATCAAAACAGCTACGGTAAAAATAAAAAGACGTGCATCATCCCGGACATAATGCAACACCACATGCGAAATTACACAGAAATGCGACGTACGGAAGAATGCGTTTTGGCTGCGAACATCTTCCAAAAAACTTGGCATCTCTTAACCATGGGCAAAAACATCTGGAACCACTTATAAAAACCACCCCGTATCTGCATGAACTTTTTTGAACCCCACTGCTATTCCAAACAACGCGTTTTTCTGGACCATTCCAATTCGCCTCGTAATTGTAGGGGTGCGTCTGCGATATTACATTGACCGCGAAAGCAGCAACGGCAAAAATACACATTCGTGCATCAACACGGGCATGCCCGCAGACGGCGTATAAAATTGCGTGCCGATTACACAAAGAGAACCCAGTGTTTTGACTGCGAACATGAAAAATCAGCCGATTACAACACTCCGTCCGGAGGTCCTGACCTCCTTCACGGAGTAATAAAACCAGTCTAGAAATAAAATAAACCTTGCAACAGCTGTGTGGTAAGGGCATCTTCATTTGTCCAAGCTGAGTCAAAGGTCGGCATGTATGTACAACCCATGTATTACAAACCATCTCCAGATGATCCAACTCTTTAATAGCATTAAACAACCAAAAGCTCAAAGAAATATTGATTGTAAATCTGTAAATAGGCCAGGACAATACAAATATTTTAGATATTTGTCTTGCCATGGCAAACATTTCAAGTAAAATTAGATAAGCTTGTAATCAGTCTGATGGTTCAGGAATCCTTTCCCAAAAGTATAATTGGATCTGGTTGATCCTCATCTTCCTTTGCTTCATTACCATGATACGATGTTATCAAAGATATACAATAGATAGCAAATTTGGAGAAGGACTTGAAAGCAGCAGTGAAAGCTCCACGTAGCGACTACAGGCCCAATAGCCCAACAGGTGGAAATGGCCAGTGAATAGTGCCTGAAAAGACCGGTCAACCAGACACAGGAGGAACTTTTAAAAAGGTGCAAGCTTAAGGTGCCTCTTAAGGTGTTATCCAAGTTCCAAGAAGGACTTAGCAAAATAAGGCCACATCACAAGGTGACACCTGTACACAAGTCCACTGGGTGTCTTTTCACTGTACACTTTCAATCATCAAATATCAGGAGACCAAATAGCACTTATCTATATGCCACAGCTTTTAGAGCAGGAATGTCCCTTAGCTTATTGTACATTATTTTGTCACTGAGGTAGAAATTTTGCCCCGCTAGCTATCGTGAATTAGTAGATTTCGGTCTCCGAGGAGCGACCCTCAGATGCATGCTCAAGTTTGACAGCGATGACTGATTGGTTATCACCAAAGTACATCCACTGATGGATGAGTGGGTAGAGTATGGTTCAGACCATGTAGGCTGTAATACTCTAAATAGGCTTTTTTTAAGGAAGATGGGAATTTCGGCATCTGTGATAAATAGTTCAACAGATAGCACATCCCTTGAGTCTCCAGACCACCTCTAACTACAAACAAAGTGAAGAAAGTTTTGAACAATAACTTAGAACATAGTTATTGTGTAAAGATCACTATAATGGTTTAATTTCTTGGTTCTTGTATTCCCCTGCTTCATTTTTTCTTCAGGACACATGCCTTTCAGGGTACATGTATTATCAACTACATATATTTTGATATCGACAGTTACAGTACAGTAGAGATTTGGGGGTTATAACAAAATGATTGTTTTAATTATCTAGGTCACATGCCCAGTCTATAAATTTTCTGGAGATCCAAGAAATTATATTGGGGTGACTTATATGCAACATCCACAACATAACAGTCAAAACTGGTTAAGAAGACCACTCAGCAGACCAATAAAATCTGGTCAATATTGTACAGGTGGTCGCTATAGACCCCAAGGATTCTTATTGCTTGTGCCAATGAGAGACTATCAACAGGTGGTCACATTAGCCTTGTGGTCCTTATGTAGAGTGTAATACAATAATTGTGACAGTATTTGTTACATACTTTCAGGGACTAAAAGTTGCCAAAAGGAACACCTTGTGGTATCATGTATATTACATTACCGGTCTCCAATGATGTATCAGGTACAAGTAAATATTCCGTTATCACCAAGTCACTCCTAACCTAATAACCAGACAGACTAATATTGTAAGAATGAGTTTATTAGTCATGGTTGTGTGTGCAGTCTGATTACAGCAGTTGACTTGTACCAGCAAAACAGATGTTTGCAGCTTGATTGGTCAAGGGATCACAGGGCTCGGCCCTGATTGGATGCTTCCACAGGACACATATCGAATGAATAACATTTCGAAATGGGGCAGCTTAAATTGCAATTCACAACACACACCATAACACGGAATTGATATTGTTCATCATTGCTCTGCTCACCCTCTTCCTTTCCCACAGGCCTCTCTACGGGCCAAATGGGTTGACAATGAAGTTGAAATACTATACTCCCATTTCTATTTCATTTTATCTGTTGCTACCATTCTCTGTAGTAACAACAGAAGTACACTGGTATGAAATACATGACTACATATATTATAAAAATCAGTGCTTTTGGAAAGCATGTTGATATTGATATTTGATATATATTGAAAACAAGTCTTTTGTTTTGAGATTTTAAAAAAAATTAACTGCATTACTTATTTTCAATTGACACTTGCAGCACCAGTATTGCATTACAGCAATGAGGATCCCCCATCTCCACAATGATCTACAACTCAATAATACATGTAACGTATACTGAAGGACGCACTGAAAACCCCCCAGGTAATAGCATTATAAACTCATCTCTGTGCACGCGCCCCCTCCACATTCAATACCTTGCAGCACGCTTCCTCTAATAGCCCATAACCAAAGCAATTACACCCCTACCTGTGCTAGCCGGGAGCGCCCTAGTCGTGCCCCTCCCACCAACAGGAGCCTCTGCCCCGCGGAGGTTTGTGTCTTCCCCGCTGCTCTCGGGATTCGCCGTATGCTCACGGCCGCGTGGGGACTGCGGCGACTCGCCCCGGGCACGCTACAGCCACCTCGCCCCTCCCGGTCCCGGTGGTAGGGGCACGGGGTGTGATTTATAGTCTATGGGAGATCAAAATCGTCCCGTTAGCGTATCAGTGTCGCACCTGTGTCCGATACGCGCGACACTTTCACTTTCACACCTGTCCGAGGGGCGTGTGGGGCGACCTAGGCCCGCACAGCCTGACCACTCCCCTTCCCCTGCTCACCGAGCACCAGAAAGTCCCGCCAGATTCTAGACCATCGCTGTTTTGGGAGGACGGGGGGACCAGAGATGGCGTCCCGTTCTTTCCAGTGGTCGCTCGGAATTTCAAAGAAAATATTGGCGGCAGTTTTGGAAACCAACGAGCCGGGAGGACGCATGCGTACCGCAAGTGAGGGCCGTACCATTCTATATAACGGGGGACTTCCTTGTGTTTATTTCCGGGGGTCCAGAAAGGGTCGTTCCATTAGCGGAGTTGGGGATGCGTGAAATAGGAGATGAAAAATAATGTACATCGTGACTTACTACCACATGGACGTGACAGAGAGGGAATCAAAAGCAGCCTCCCGGATACAGGCCTCCTTGCGATTCAGCCCGATGATGACATCTGCACGTTTTCTAGTAAACCAGGCTAGGTACACAAACCAGAGCCGACAAACGCGCACAAATGGAAAGACGTATAAAAAGTTGCAAAGAGGCATGAAGACAAACTTCAAACACCGATCTAAATGGAGAGTTTCACTGTAAATTCACACGCGATTTTTTTCATGTCCATGTTTTCCTTGGAAAAATGTATAGCTAGCGTTACTAACTAGCATAGAAGTTATTGGCATCGAATTAAATTTGATAAATGAAATTGCTGTTGAAATGAGGTGCAGAAAAAGAGAAGTGTACATATATGATGGAAAAAAAGCAAATCAAACAGAACTTGCACACGGTCACTGGGGGTTGCCTGGGGAGACCAATGATATACAACTTGGTATCTGGGACACCAGGAAGGTACCATGCTCACGTTGCGTTTGTGTTGTGTGCTTCATCCACTTCATTCTCATCCGCACATATAACACTGACACCCGCCGCGAATCTACCTATGATGTATGGGAAAGGCACCGCCCAAAATACCTAAACGTAACATCAGGTACAGGTACGGTACAGAGGTTTAGGTACAGGACACAATTTGACAATGGGGTATTGAATGATGACTGAAACATAAATTAACAGTTGAATAACAGAATGCCTATTTAGACCTTACGCAGCTAGAGAACCCATGCTGTCACGAGGATTTCAGATCAAAGATGGTGCTGATTTCATCGGCTATTACAAAGTTCTTTTCCCGGTGCTGAATTTTCAGCATTGTAGTATAACACGTTGTTAGTAACAAAAGAAGTCAAAAAGTTATACCCGGTAATACTAGTATACGTGAGTGTAAGCTTATTCAGGTACAGAACCGTACATTGATTGATTGTATGTTCCAGTATGTTCCAGTGTTTTTGTAGGACGGTACCGGTACTGAGTAACGTGAATCTGCACACAGGTCCATGATGTATGAGGAAAGCACCGCCCCAAATAAGACCGCTGCCCACTGATGGATGACTCCATTGTTTCCATAAAAGTAAAATGTCAGCTATAAACGCGATCTCCTACATAACCCCGCGCTCTTCAATGATGCAGTATGGTTCACCAGTCGCCAGAGACGGTGTTCTGCAGGAGATTGGTGCTGCAATGGGAAAGCCGTGCACCAGGTGTGGCTATAGGGGGCGTAATGAGGCATAAAATTAGCTCGCTCTGGCCATGTATAACGTCCAACCTTATGTCCCGTACATGATGACCTTTCCTGCACCGAATTCATTGCAGTCTTCAACAAGCCTGTGGGCATATTATGAGCACCGATGGAATACAAGGATTTGGACGGAGCGAGCCACTGAGATCTGTCCGTCCACGTCTAAGCCAACACTGGTGCTCACTATAATCTACAAGCAAATCCTAGGGTGGCAAAAGACAGTATCCAGGCAGCATCCCATAGCTATAGACAAGAGAAGGTACAAGAGAGGGTCCACTCTAGGATCTGCTTGGAGATTATGCTCACTACTAGTCTAGTGCTTTTCACGTCAGGCATTCCAGGTACGGAGGGTGTTATGTGATATGAACAACACATAATCTTGAGCGCATTATATGGCAATTAATTAGCAAGCTGTAACTTTTTTTTTTCATCAAATCAAAGACGTTGATGGTGAGCATGATGGCAAAGAAGACAGTTTATTTCTTGCGATAATATACTGGCCGATTGCGCGTCAGCAAAATGATACATACATTGTGTGTCATATGTATATATACCCATCTCATCATACTCACTGAAATCTTCACTTCTGGAATAACAGCGCATCAAGTAGGATTGAGGGTTGCGAAATTTAGATGAGCTTCGGAAGAGGACCGCTAGAGATCGCAACAAAACGGTACACATCTCTGTTGCCTAACATTTTTGTGTCATGGGTGATTCCTGCGGAAGGCGAATAACTTTTCCTATCCTCTTAAAATATCTTTCCAGAGACCTCCCTCGGTCTTAGATATGAACTGACTAAGGAGTAAATAAGATATGGTCAAAATTAATGATAGGAAAGCGGAACTATAAGTTGAATAGTAGTTGTAAATCTAGTGGCAGCGGTGGTATATATATAATAACTTTCTGAAGCCTGAAATTTCACAGTTTATCTTCTAGAACGAAGGACGAACGATATCCTAGTTAAAGTGATGTGATGGTAAAACTAAAAGAGAATAGGAAGGATCAGGAAAGCAGGGGACGACAGAACGGGACAGCGTAAGGGCAGAAGCAGTGTCTCTATGTTATAGACCTCCCGGTGGAGTTGGCAACAGAGTAGAAATCGGCCGAAATACAGTGTGTACATTGTATAATTGGTAGGGGGGACTGAAGTTGTTACGGAGATCAAATGTCTTGACCGTGAGCTCGAGTTAGCTGGCCTCTGCCGTTTCTGTGGCCCGCGGCCCGACTGGAATTGCTCCCGAGGTCCGATGTTTGCCAAGCGTTATCAGGGTCGGCCACTCGCCGCTTGAGGCGGGGATCTTGGGTGATGATCAATCACGTCTAGCCCGGAGTTACGAGTCTTATCAAACGCGCCTTCACGGTCGTCTGCAAGAGCTGCTTTCTCGGGACATAAATATTATAATCCAGCGCCTGGACCGCGTCTCCTGAAGGATCATGACAAAGCGTTTCGACCATTACTCATTCTGAGCGTGTCGCATCTAATCTCTGGTCTCCATTTTCACGACCATTAGGACTAACGATTGGCCACTGCGCAGGTAATTATCGCTCCCCAGAGGGTTTTATGGACTAGAGATGCGAACCACGTGTGGGCACCAAGTAAACCGCCTTATCGGAAGTGCCAGATAATCGTCGGGGACACAGTTCGGACAAAAATGGCGGTCGGCCGGGAACTTTTCAACGTTCGCCCTCGTGCTGTTCTGTGTGTCGGTCTCCTCGTATCGTTAGCTTCTGGATTCAACGTGGACACGCAAGCACCGATCGTGAAAAGGGGAGAGGAAGGCAGTTTGTTTGGTTTCTCTGTGGCTTTACATCGAGTAGATGCAGACAACAGCAGTACAACACTGTGAGTATATCTAAAGTATCTAAAGGATCATTCTCTCTGCAACGTCATCGAGCAGCTTAACCTCGGGTGATCCATGGGTAACGAAGAAGCTAAATCTTAGAGATAAGAGTAGATTATCTAAGCAATGATCATAAGTTTGCAGTAGCTGACCTATTGACCTATGGCATACGTAATCTAACAAGTCCCACAGCTTACATGCTCTGTCCCTGTGTACCCAACTTCTTTTGCGGGATAGACAGTTAGATAAGCAGCACAATATACATGCAAGCTTCAACGTCTGTTAGATGTAATAACGTTAGCGCACATGCCAGAATGATACCAGAGACAGCCAACCTTGTAAAACATAACGCAGACTAGTGAAGTCAAGTGTGACTACGGCTGAAACCTGGGAGTTGAAGTCCTGAACATCTTTCAGTCAAGGTCCCCACAATGAATTCCATATAAATTGCTAGCGTATGTTTAGGCGAACGCCGCGTTATTTCTGGATACACATTAGGGAAAGGACCTGAAACTTTCTACGGTAATCAATTATCCTCGAGCTCTGTGTCCCTAAGGGTCAAGGAGAGAGGGCGCCTCGGGGAGGAGATCTAAGATAGGTGGATGGCATTTCATCACCTACTGGTTTCAGAATGCATGTTAACTTTGACCCTGTGCTTCATATCGGAAATATGCCATTGTCTGTATTTGTCCCATCACAAGGAAGGCAACCTACCGCGATATGATGTAAGCTCCTCTCATTGGATTGTGTAATATTATGACTTGCTCGTCATGGCGGCAAATATTGCAAATTGTCGTCGTGATATGTTGCAGACTTACACGAACGATGCGAAAACTTCCCATGCAGCCAATTTCTGACTAGAGAGCCATTTGCACTCTTGACCTGGAGAATACTTGTGTAATTGGTTAGGAATGCGTCACGTATGTGGGGGAATCCATCCGCAAGCCCGGTATTCTCTGGTGGCACATACTGTAATCTGAAGTGACCGCCAGATGTGGGGGAAGGGGTATTCTAAGGGGTAATGGACGGTAGAAGTTCGCAAACAGTGTTGGCTAGGGTAGTGAACCGCGGTGTGGGTAACATTTCCCAAAATGATACTTTCCAAATTCCCCTTGTAAAATATATTCTTCATATTTTGCTAAATTTTACCATTTTTCAACTCGAGTTCTAAGACATTCAATCTACAGTCAGACGGACAGAAGCGATGGGAAATTCTACCGAGTAGAATTTGTTATTACGAGTAATGGTAGTTACGAGTTAAACAGGAAATGGAAGAGAGTAAGAAAAAGAAAAATTTCTGCAAAGATACGATGGAGCTAGGAAGCAAACGGAACCCATCACAATTTGTCTGGTACGATTAGTTCTTCTCCTAAACGACAGGATTTTGACAGCTTCTGGATGCAATTTGCTTCCTGTCCACTTCGCAAGAGACGGGGTCAAAAGGTTCCAATTTGTGGGTCTTGTGCGTCTTTGCTGGATGACTGGCGCCCTCAGTTTCTTCGAGAGAGGAAACTGCAAGGCGCGTATCTTTCCATTCTGTTCAAAAATAAAACAACACCGTCCATTCTATTTCTATGGTATAGGAAACGTTATTTTGAACCCATTCTTGTATTTACTGTAGTTATTTCTGTCTTTATAGCTATAGACAACGCGTTACTCTGTCTCGCTTATTGAAAAGATACGGCCGCCCTCATCCGACAATGTCAATGAAAAAGCCTGAGAGAAAGGTCCCTGCAGTTGACTCTTTATCTTGATGGTTTCGACACTTGTTGATTAAAGCCAGGCATTTACAGTTACGCAACACAATTATGTATGAGGCCAAATCGCAAAGTCATATTTTGTCCAATCCCATATGCAATTCAACATGCAAAATCAGATCATGCGAAAAGACACGTACTGAGGAAATACGTTACTTCTGACACTTTTTTTTCCAAGACGAATCCCCCAATCAATTTACGGTTTGGGTTTAAGGTTACAGAGTCCGGGGGCAGCCGCGTGGGAACAACAAGGTCAGCTGAGGTCAGCTCACTGTCTACTGCGATTCGTCCCCCCTAGATAAATACCACATGTCCAAATACTACAGGATTGAGTTCGACAGCTAATCGTCCAAAGGTTAATAGAAGGTCGTTCTTAATCCTCAAGACGTTAAATGTTTCCCGTGGTTTTCGGCAGAAGTGTTTCTGGAGAGAATTTGATATGTACTAAAGCAAATTTGATTGTGAGGCCTACTAACGACTGAGCAACGCTTTTCAACGTGATTAAAGTTACCCATCCTCCAATTCTTTTCATCGCCTGTCTTTGTACCTTTTTATCCTCTTAAAAACGTTTACAACTGCACACTACACATTTGTTGCTTTCGTGTTGCCCGTACAAATTCGTTTCGTGCTATTCAATTTGTTAATTGTAAACTATAGTAGCCGAAATTATTACTAAGACGGGACGGTCTAGAAGTTCTTTACAATACTTCGCGATCGAACGTTAGTCTTTCTACATTGTACACCTACTATGTTTTTTAATGGCATTAACGATCATCGCTTCTCTGATGACTTAACACAGTTTTTTTCTTCAGATTTCTTGTAGGAGCGCCCCAAGCGAAGTACTTTGGCGAACCGTTTTCTCCTGCAACAGGGATGGTGTACACATGCCCGGTTTCCACCTTCAGCGAAGACTGCAAGCCTCTTGATATTGACTATGGTAGGAGCTCATAGCGTCGACGTTGACTGGGAGATTTAATTTGAAATTTGTGTAAGGCTGAGGATCAAAAGGTTTCAAATATTTCATATGCTATAACGTATCTTTACTGCAAGTTGTGACTACGTATAATGACACGAACAACTTTTACGATGTTCCAGCAATCCCCCAGCCTATTGAAAGTTTAGCAGGTCGCTGGCTTGGTGTGACGCTACAGAGTGCAGGACCAGGGAGACATGTCTTGGTACGTTAGCAGTTCTGTATTTCCTAAGCGGTTTCAAGTTTCACTAACATTTAGATCTATTGTTTTACTTCAACCCAATCTACTTCTGTCACATATGAATACAAACCTAGTGCCTTACCGTGAGGTCTACGCAAAAGATATCATATCGTCCCAAGTTTATTATGCATCTACAGGCGCTGGGCATTAATGTTTGCTGTCTTTAACAGGTGTGTGCCCCACGGTTCACTCGCTGGGCGGGGAACGATCCCTCGGTGAAGTCCTTCAGTCGGAGCGGCCAGGCCCGGCTGGTCGGGAGGTGCTACCACCTGCGAGCCGACCTCTCCCTGGTGGACGCAGGAGACGCGGGGCCGGGGATGTGGGAACCGTGCGAGATGTTCTCAGGGTCGTCCAGCGGGTCCCGACACTGTCTGTCCGGGACAGGGGCCAGCATTTTCCAGGTAAACAAATTAAGTTGTTTATTGTTAGGTACCGGTGCTAGATATGAAATCTTTATTATACAACATGTGGAGCGGCTTTCCCAAGGTCTCCTTCATCTGTGTTAGCCTCCTTCGCAGACTTGTAGGGCATGGCGTTATTTTTTTCGGCGGTGCGAGTTATGCCGCGGAGGGACGATTTGCCGCCGAGGGAGTTTGCAGCCCAAACTGCAGGTTTCGCTGCAGCCCAAACGACTACGCGAGGAAAGTTAGGATCACTTTCCTGACATGTGTATTAGCTGTAACGCAAATCAAATGTGTTTCATGACAGACCTTCATTTGGTTAACCGGTTCCTTAGTAATACAAAGAAATACGAGATGTAATCCCCAAGTTGGACAAAAAATGTTTTCATCCAACATCGTCGTTTCACCGGCGCCCCCTGCGTTACCCACCTGTTGCAAATGATCTAATTACTAGTAACAGGATACACATTCGGTGGTTTGTAAATACTTTTATGTCAATCAAGTGTAAGAACAATAACCACCTATTGCATAAGATGCCAATGTATTCTCTTTTTGCAGAATAGCAATGACGATAGAGTTGACTTAGCCATGGGAACTCCTACTGTTTATTATAGCCAAGGTGAGACATTAATGCGTCTTCTGTCCTTCAAACCAACTTTCAAACCTTCTAATATTATAGTAAGATGTTCATTCAGCAGGAAATAGGCAATTTTGTGCATAATTACAATCTTAAGCGATTATTCTTTATTCACAACCAAAAGAGTTTACGACCCGAGATTTCGGTCATGTCCTCCGCTGGGACCGCATTCTTAGCACTGCAGCAGCGGTACTGCGTTACTGCGTTGTATAACCAGTCAGTGCATGTATATTGCCAGACTGAGAAACGTGATGGACCGTCACCGAAAAATTAGCTTGTAAAATCCTTCAGTTATGAATAAAGTACAGAAGATGACAATGTGATACATGAATGTGTTGTTCTGTGATGTGTCGCCAGGGGGCATGGTGTTTGTGCGGCACAAGGGAGACCCTGATTCCTTGGCGTCCTTGGAGCTGGAGAATGCACCCAGCATCTACAGTACGGAGGAGCAAGACAGGGGAGGGGAGGATGGATATTTAGGTAATGTTTTCCCAACACTCTTATATCTTTCCATTCATGAATAGCTACAGTGACTGCATTGTGAAAAAAATGGTGAAAAAAATTGTTACCTGGGTTTTAAAAAAAATCTTTGAAAAGATGCCCCCCCCCCCAATTTTTTAAATTGTTCATCAACATCTCACTTTTTAGTAACGCTGAAGAAGAGTGATGGATGTCACTCGAAATATCCTGAAGTTATCTTAAGTTTGCAACTTTTCGAGTAGTAGAAATATTGTTTACCCGGATGTCTAACCTTCATCAATGGGTCTGTTGTCACAAAGTTCCATGTTGTAATGTTGGTTTTGTGTCCTTACAGGTTTCTCTGTGACTGTGATGGACACTACACAGGGAGTGAAGTTTGTGGCAGGGGCACCAAGGGCTGCTGGGGGCAAAGGTCAGGATAACACTTTACATGATGGAGTATCAGTTGGAAAGAGCAGTAGGATATGTCCAGTGGAAGAGGGGGTGGGCAGCTAGCCAAGCTGTAGCCAGACTGCATTGTGTTCTAACAGCCCTTCCACTGGTCAGGCCCCTAGAAGCTTTATGCCCAACATCTCTACCGTTAACACAGGCTTGCCAAACTCGCTATAGCTTAAGGCATTTCTGTTCAGTATTGCTAAGGTCATGTTTTTGTCTGTTTCATCCCCTCCACGTGTTGCAGGTGCTGTTGTTGTGTACAGGTGGCATAATGAGACATCTGAATGGAAGACGCAGACAATGATAGAAGGCCAGCAGCTGGCATCTGGGTTTGGGTACGCCTTATGCAATGCTGATGTCACTGGAGACAGGTAAGAAGAACATCCTCCCTAAACTGTGATCATCCTCATTACCTCTGTAGAGTTATGAAGAGAAAGGGATCAACAATTGTGTGAATCATGTAGTGATGATCTACACGATTTGTAGATAGTGCTATAGAACATTAAAATACTATTTATGTTGTTATTTGTGCTGGTATTTTTTATACATTTTGATATTTCTGTCTGATTTCACAGTGTTCCAGACCTCATAGTTGCAGCTCCATTCTACTTCAACACTGAGGGTGATCAGGGTGGTGCTATTTATGTATACAAGACTTCAATGTCTGGGAATCAGGTGACAACAGAGTTGTTCTTTATCCATGGAGACAATTGAGCTTTGCATATGGGGCAATTTCTGTTAGTTGGACTTTGATGGTAATTTTTCTAATTTTTTTTAAATAAAAAAATTAACTGTTGTCTTTAGCTGTTTGAAGGGGAACCTTTAGCTGTCAAGTATGGCAGCCGACATTCTCACTTTGGCCTGGCAGTGACAAATGCCGGGGACCTGAACAAGGATGGCTTCCAAGGTGTGTAAAGGGTTTTTCTACAATAATAATAAAGACAAGTAGACAGGTCTCCATATCGTAAAACACTTGCAAGTTATAAACAAGGACCGGGGTTTACTGCATGGCTGTGGCACACAAAATGTGCATGAATGTGTTGTTCTCCGTTCTCTGAAAGTTACATGTGCATTAAGGATTGACTCCAATGCAAGCACATTGAAACATTTCTGTTACAGATATTGCTGTTGGAGCCCCTTACGAGGGAGAAGGAGGTGTAGTCTACATCATCCAGGGCAGTGCAAATGGACTCAGCACTGAACATATCCAGGTTAGTGGAATCTGGGACATCTTTTTCAATGAAGATCTCTTTAGTCTATGACACATATTTTCAGGGTGGCAAATGTATGTGACCTGGTATTGGCAGATATATGTGACCTGGCAGATAAATGTTAATAGAGGTTTTGCCGATCATGTTTTATATAGAGGATTGACGGCTCATCACTGCCTGGAGACCTTGGGCTGACGACGTTTGGATTCAGCCTGTCTGGAGGGCTTGATGTGGATGGAAACAGTTATCCTGACCTGCTTGTCGGAGCTTTTCAATCTGATACTGTTGTCTCACTCAGGTACTGTTGTCTCACACTATCCTACAGCATTGCTATAACTATATCAAATGTTTGACATACACTGTAACCATTTTTACTAGAACATAAATGAGATCTGAAAATTAAGATTATATGTATCATTCATAACTGTAATGTCTTAGCCAAGAAAGTGTTTTAATTCTGTTGTTTTAATGACATCACCAATGTCTGCTAAGTTTTATCACAAGCTTATAACTTATTCCATCTTCAGGTCCCGCCCTATTATATATGTCGAGCCAAGGCTAAGAGTGAACCCTCCTGTGTTGGACACAGAGATGGTGCTCCCAGGGTGTGCCATGCGCAACGGACGCAAAGTGCCATGGTGGGTCAGCTTTTCCTTTGTAAGCATGTGTAAAAGTGTCAGGGTGTCTATGGCATGGTTCTCTTCTAGTTTTATAACCAAAACATTATCACTCAAATGCAGAAACATGTATTACTGTGATAACCCATTTCAAGACTTTTCAAGACTAGTTATGTGAGATGGTGTCCTCTTCCTACACTTCTGTTGCAGTTTTGAAGTTGAAATGATTTTTCAACGGACAGCCACGGGAGATGAGGCAGTTGATAACAGACGCTTCCGTAAGTACCTAAGAACAATAAGCATGGCTAGTAATATGTGGTAACATTTTTTTGAACTCTCACAAACATTTGACTTTGATACATTTCATCTGTTTCTTTGTAGCTGGTTTAACTGCCCTTCTGTGTAACACAAGTTATGCCTATTTTACCTTTACCTTTTTTAGAATGAATCATCTGTTGTCCATACAGGCGTGGCCATCATGCTGGAACTAGACAAGCCATACAGGGAGAGGACTGGTCAGATGAGGGTGTTCTTCCCTGGAGCCAGGAAACACGTCCTGCAGCGGTCCATTCGCTTACCCACTGCCTCAGGCAAGGCAAAGGCAGTCAGAGTCAAGGCTTACATAAAGGTGTGATTTTTTTTTCTCTCTTTAGATTTTGCTCCCAGGTATTGTTTTGGGTGGATTTGTCTGTGGATTTGTTGTTATGTTTGTCATGACAGAGTAGGCTGACAGCAAATAGGTGAGATTGACAGGCAGTAGGACAGTAGATAATAAGGTCAGATACAGGAAATGGGGTACATAAAATGTATAACTCGAAGGTTTCAGCATCTGGCAGGAATTAGAAGTCAATATATAGCAGAATTGAGTAGGCTGAGGATTGCATGAGCAACCATCCATATCTGCACTGTTTCTATCCTAAACATGCTTCCTGGAAGCCTGGAATCTATGATTTCTTCTTAAATTAAAATCAAAGCATTCCTACTCTGATCACATTAATATGCCTGTCACCTGTCCCTGTGGATTTACCTCCTGTGCAGGAAGGTGTGACAGACCTCAGTCCTATACAAGTGACTCTGGACTACAAGCTCAACGTCCCCAGCCAATCCAACACCAGCACTGGTGTGCCTCCTACCTTCAACACATACCCTGTGCTGCATCCAAGTTCTAACACAAGTGTGGAATTGGAGGTATGTAGCTTAATTCTAATGTTTCTTGTAAGCAAAGAAAGCAGAAATTATAAGTTAAGTGCTTTAGGTGTAACACACAGTTTTCTGTGGTACGTACAAGCTGTGTAACACCAGATTGATGATAGTAACAACTGTAATTTCATTATGATGGAACTGGAATAAAATAATGTGTTTTCTATCAACAGCAAACACTGCAGAAACTATTCTTTACCCCTCGATTGTTGTTTCCTACAGCTTAGAATTGCGGAAGACAAAAGTGAGGGATTTTATGTCCGTGGGTAAGTAATGTTACACAGTGTTTGACAAATTTTCGGTAACTTCGGAAAACTGTTCAGCATGCAGTAGATTCAACATAGGGATTAAATACTCAAGCAACTTATATCGAACAGGTGTATTGTTGACTATATGTCCATTCTTGTCTTGTTACTTATATTTTTTACCTGTATTAAATCTGTACAACACGAGCCACATATTTCATGTGAACATGCCCCGCCCTCAGTACCAGTGTGCCAGAGAACCTGTACATCAGTCCTGGAGCAGGGCCAATTGATTTCCAGTTCTTTTACCAGGTGAGGTAGTAGTCTTTTGAGGTGGCTTGTATAGACTTTTCAGGGACTGTGTGTGTGTGAAGGATCAAAATGATTTTTTTATTTCTATTCCCCACATGATTTAACTCTTAGACATTAACTCTTAGACATTTTGTGTACATTACTTGCATGTCCAATTTTTTTAGCCATCATTAGTCCTGCTTAAAAAAAAAGACTTGTACTTGGTGCAAGCACGTCTAACCCCCGGTTGGGGAAAAATGACGTTAAATTCGGTTAAAAAAAATTAGTGTTGAATCTTTACATTGTAAATATTTTCTATTGAGAATACAAGAAATTCCACTCATTTCTGCTGTCCTTCTTCATGGTTGACAGGTTTGATTATGATTTTCAGGTATTGAATCAGGGTCCAAAGGTCAGACCGTCAACTACACTGTACCTGTTCCTCCCAGTTGACATCTCCAATGGCCAGCTCTTCACATGGGGATCTGTAACAAGAAAGGTAGGAAGTTAAACTTGTAATTTTAGGAAACACAAGAAAATGATTGCTTTTGTAGATGGAAAATTAATCCATGGTCTATGGGTTAAGTAAGTTAAGACAGATGATTACATTAGTCTATTTTTTTTATCCTTAAACAGTAGTTAGTAATTGGGAAATGCATGTCTAGTGCCGGATAACCCTTTCAGCACCAAGGGCAGTGCCACATTTGACACCAAGATGCATGTATAACAATGTCATGACACATGATTGAGTGTATCTCATTTGAAAAGCTTTTGTGATAAGAAATTGTTTGTTTGTCAACAGGATGGCGAGGCAGAGGTCTCTTGTAAACAGGAAACAGATGACCCAGTAAGTGATACTTTTTGGGAATGCAGAACCATTTTCTTCTGTCAATCTGTGTCTTTTTACCTGCATATCCTAGTCACTTATAATGTTTCTTCATGATGAGAATTTAAAAAAAAATTTGCCGTTGAAAGATTTTATTTGACTGAAATTGAATTTGGTCCTGAAAACTGTCATAAAAGAAGGACCTTTTCCCTGCACACTTTTGGTCCCTTTGCTATAACATGTCAGCTAGGAGAGGGTCATGTAGAAAGAACTAAATATGCTGTCTCCTCTTTTCTTTGCTGCATAGATACTTTCATCTGATTGGTCAGGAAAAGCTGACATCATTGGAGCAACTCAGACCAATTGGAACCTGGTTGAGGTAGGCACCATAATGTTTCCTGTGTTATGTACTAAACATGGTTCCATACAAACCTTACTTATCATTAAAGGGTAAAGGTCCATAGCCTTTTTGAGGCCATGCAGTGTCCTTCCACGGCCTTTTACGTCAGAGACCAATTTTATACCTGGGTGGAGTATGGTGCCTTTCCCAAGGACACAATGTTTAGAGATAAATGCTAGGGATCGAACCTGTGACCTCTTGCTCTCGTGTCTGTTAGCCTAGCCACTCAACCATTTTATGCACCTGCATTATTATAATCTGTTCACCTAAAGCTCTGGCACATAGTTTGTGAGTAGGTTATTGACTTGTGTTGCTGGTTGTTTTAGGAGGTATGCATTGATGGGGCAGCCAGCTGGCACATATACAGCTGCACCATCGGACGACTTGCAGCCGGAGATCAAGTCCTCATTAATGTGGGAGGAAATGCAACGGGCAGTGTAGCTCTGAAGGTGCTGTACATCAATATGTGAATTCTGAATTGGCCTTGACTTCTCTGGCAGGAGAAAGGGCTTAAGCATGGAGAAAGTATTTCAGTTTTATAAGATATGTAGAACTTTGCAGAACAAGTCAGTGACCTATTTTTCTTAGACAAAGAGAGTCTAGGAAAACAGCATGTTTTCAGTTAGGAAAACAGCATGTTTTCAGTTAGGAAAACAGCATGTTTTCAGTACCAAGGACAGAACTAAGTAATACTGCATGGCTCCTTCCTTCATTTTACATGCACTAACAAGAATTCCGAGATCTCATACCTCCATGAAATATGGGCTTGATATGTAAATGTAAATTTCTTCTTTAATTATGCAAAATAACTCTGCATTAACATGATATATGCATCATGATGTATGTTAACTTTTGATTAAGTTACAGATGTCCCAAGTATGACATTCCCATCATTCACCATTAAGAAATCATAGAATTTTTGCATAAATTATGCAAATTATGTCATCATTTGCATAATTGGTATCTGTTGATGTTCTGCCTGCCATAGGTTACATACATTACATGTATGAAAGTAGTATAATGTAAAACACTGTAATTATAGAATTTCCTCATTAATTATGCAAATAAAGTCCTCATTTGCATAATTTGCATTTAATCATGTACATCTCTCTCTCAGCTACCTACACACTAAAAATTATGAAAATACGTTGTTCCTATCTAGACTTATTGGCTTTTAAACATTTCGCCAGAAAGTGCCCTGCAGTTCCAGAACAAGCTGCTAGGGGGACCAAACTCACACCACTTATTCCTGACAGGACAAGCAATCTGTCACCAAAACATCAAGACCATAGCATGTTCAGGACAAAAGATACAAAAACCGGAAGTTCTGCTGCAGTACCAAGGTCATCCACCAGGAGGCCCATATTTGACCTTGACTTTTGTCTTCCTAAGACTTACCAACATACCAAATATCATCATAATCCATAAAGGCGTTATGAAGTTATGCTGACCACAAAGTTGCGGAAACACACACAGACAGACAGACAGACACACACACACACAGACATACATACATACATACATACATACATACATACAGACAGACACGCCAAAAACAATACCTCCATTTTTCATGGAGGTAATGAAAGTGAGAGTTAAAAAAATCACACTGTTAATCAGCAAAGTAAATGGAGAAGTTGTCTGAAACTTTCAAAACTCCCAAACACTAATTGATTATTCTTGATTTACCACATCCCTTGTAGGAAGTGCATCGGGGCAACCAGCTAACGTTTCACTCCTGTACACAAATTAAGTCAGAGACCAAGAGTCGTGTATCCAAGGTAAGTACAAACGTTAACCTGTATTGGTGGTCAACTTTGTGTTAAAGTCATCTAGCCATTGTGGACACTTTTTGTTGGCCACTTGGATTTTTTATTGCCCATGATTAAATAGTGATTATAGTAGTCATCTGTCCATAGTGGTAAACTTTGCTCTGTGACTACTATAGACTGTGTTCATCTGATTTTTTTCCTTTTATCAACAGGCATCTGTTTCTCTGTTGATAGAGGCAACAGTCAAAACTTTAAGGTGTGTTTCATGTAGAATTATATCCAATTTTCCAAAAGTATTTGCATGTATTAAGGTGCTATCTAACTATTATTGTACTTTGCAGAAGTATTCAAACATATTTATGTTGACTGTAGAATATCCTACAAGACTTTAACTTTGTCATGTTTGTAAATGAGAGAGATTGTAAGTGATATGAAAAACAGTCTCTGGTATTTATGGCATAAACCATTCATTCATTCATATGGGAAAGTAAAAATGCCTTTCTTTTATTGCACTATAAGTGTGCGAGAGAAGCGTGATACACCCAGTATCTGGAGCCCAATGCCAGGGGAAGACATGGAAGAGTTTGGCTCCCGACTCTGTCAGCAGCTCGGGTCTGGCAACTGCTCTGACTGTCTGCAAACTGCCTTCTGGTGTGGCTGGTGTTCTGAACAGGTTTGCTGATGTTACATGTATTTTCTTTTGTATGTTTTTTTTTTACATTTGTCCGTGCAAAACATGTTACAGAGCATTAGACTAGGGATGGAGTAGACTCCTGCTGAAGTACAACACACCGTATGGAGTGGGAGGCTTTTTAAGTTTCATCTTTTCCCTGTCCTTGGTGCTGAAAATGTGCTGTACCATCCACAGGAGTTCTCGGGTTCTCGCTGTGACATGGTTCATCGGCTGACGGACAGAGGATGCCCAAGGGATGATGTCATGAGCCCAAGGAGTCAGACATTGATCACCAGGGTACATATCTCTCAAATCATTTATACTAGCTGTATGATAGCCAAACATCAGTGGAACCTCATGCCTTCAGAGCTGAACCCACACAGGATACTGGTTATAGACTGCTAAGACATGTTCAGATGTTTGCTGTTGCTCCTGAATAATTATTCCATATTGCAAAGAAGACAATAATGCAGTTGTCAACCACTTAAAAGGGTGCTATTTGTTCTACAGAATGAACCTGATCCTCCAGACAAAAAATTTCTTTTTTTCCGGCCTCAAGAGGCCACCATGCAGATGAGGCCAGGTAAGAGCAAACCACTAACTCCCATAATTTAGTCTTCTCTAAAAATGCAATGTATAGAATGCTTTGTACACTTCTTGATAGCTGTGAATGTGAGGTGCTTTGGTCCATTTGTGACTTTGTGTACCAGACAGTTCTCAGTCCGGCAATAATTGGTCCATGTTAGCACACATGCATACAACAACAGGATTAAGATGTTTCCAATTCTCCTGACTTAGAAGCTTCTTGAGGCCTGACCAGTGGGACGGCTACTAGAAGCATGATTTAGCCAGGCTAATCTCTTGCTTACGTGGCTTGTTTGTTACTCCACCACAGGAAGGAGCATGCCGCTGTATTTTGAGGTGCTGCCCCCTCCACCTCCTGTGGTCAAGGCCATTGACTTGTATATACTCATGGACCTGTCCAAATCTATGGCTGATGATCTCTTCTTGCTCTGGGACTCCTTAGACAAACTCGGTATGTTGGTAGTAAAACACGATTGTGCACAACAGTTTTTTGCTTACCATTAAAAAACAACGTCAAATTTCTAAAAACCATACCCTTGTTGTAAATTAAAACTAGCACACAAAAGTAGTAGGAGCTGCTTGCTGTGAAAATTGTACTTACATTGAAACCATTAGCCAAACAGTATTGATCTGTGTGAGTTAGCATTGAAGTACAAATGTAGATGTCTATAGAAAAAAACTAGTATGTAGCATTCATTCCATACATTTCACAGCTAAGCAAACATCAGTGGATGGTTGCTACCCATGGGAGAATCTCACCACATGCCCTGACAATAACAGCAGCCTTTCCCTTCAGTCCAGACAGTCTTACAAGGAGAGAAGCATGTACGGCTTGGGTTTGGAACATTCGTGGACAAGACGGTTCTTCCATTCACAAACACATTCAAGTGAGTAAAGTACAACCTTTTGTTTCTGTAACAGAAATAAACCTTGTGTCTGGAAGAGTATACATTTCATTGGATATTACAAAAATGAGGCTTGATTTTTTGTTCTCCCATTTGAGATATTGCCAGGTGAAATATTTACCCTTGAAGTGACGCTGTGAGGTGATTTCTTTTGTTATACAGCCTGGAGGAGCCCTGCAAAGGGTGTGCACCGGCCTTCAGCTTCCGTCATGTGCAGGTACTAACAGATGACTTCAGCCAGTTCAGCCACAGTGTCACAGAACAGGAAATATCTGGTAACATTGATGCAGCAGAAGGCTTGCTGGATGCCTTGATGCAAGCCACTGTCTGCCAGGTGGGTTAGTTTCAGCTATCAATTGCAGTGAACTTTGACATGCATATAGTAAAGATACTACCATGCAAGCAGGTCTGCATTCGATAAGTTGCTGTTTTACTATCAAAATCATACATTTTATTAGTACACCTGTTTCCAGTTCTGGGTGAGACCATACATGTAGATGAAAGGGATACTTGAAACTTAACTGGCAATAACTCCCGAAACCAAGTGTTTAAAACTGCTTCCTTCGTACCACAGGAGCAGATTGGCTGGAGGGAGGATGCGGCACGGGTGATCCTTGTGCTGACAGACGCTCCGTTCCACTGGGCAGGAGACGGCAGGCTGGGGGGCATCGTACAGCCTAACGACGGGCTGTGCCATATGGACCAGAATGGGGAGGATGCTGAGTCAACAAAACAGGTCTGTAGATGGATTGTATAATTCATGGTTTATCTACTAATCTTCACTATAAATATATCATATAAGATTTGACAGTGGAAAGGGCACGATCATCACTTTGAATTTGAGTTACCATTCATTTGACTACTAGTATGTAAGCCTGCTATGACTAAATTAGATGAATGATGCATATGTAAGATTTGTTTGTATAGTATGAAATTTCTTGTAGAATGTCTTCTGGATTCAGGTATTTTATAACACCTTTACTACTTGGACAAGTTTAATCGAGCATTTCCCTGTTCTCTCAGGACTATCCTACAGTGGCCCTGTTAAAAGACAGGATGTTCGCCCATAGAGTGACACCATTATTTGCAGTAACTCCTCAGAGCATAGAACTATATGAGGTGAGAAAGATTGAAGGCATCAAACTCTTATATTCTGCAATAGATTTGCATCTTACCAACCGATATACCCTGGTACATGTTGTTTCAAAGTACTCATGATAACACTGACTGGATTTTTAATATTAAGTTCAAAGACTAGCAAGTATGCTCACTAGTTTATCTCATAATCATCAAGGACTCATGATTTATATATAGTCATGTGTCATTCCAACAGAAAGCCTTTGAGTGTTTCCTCTATTCCTACTTCTTTTCGAATAGTTGCGCTGACATTGGTTTTTAACATGTCACAGTATTATCCTCTGATACTATGCTGTATTGAACTTTTTAAACTCCGTATTTTTATGCAAATAAGTTCTAATCATGCCTCTACCCAAATTGCAAGTGTACTTTTATGTAAATACGTTTTAAGCATGTATATATACGAATTTTTATGCCTGTTGATGTAAATATGTTTTTAATCATGACTTGAATTGTAAATGTCGTAACGCAATTCAGCCTTTGTGGCTGCTAAGTTTGTGGCATGGGTTTTTGAACTAAATAAACCATTCATATTCTTGCAGGAACTCAGCACTCTGATATCATCTACCCCATCCAACTTCTCCAGTGTGTACAGACTTCAGTCAGATTCTAAGAACATTGTTGACATTGTTGAAGATGTGATGAAGAGAAATCTGGTGAGATACTAAAAAACATGTATTTAGATTTAACAGCGAGCAGATTATTATTGGAATGAGCAGAGCACTTTGGACTAATGCCTCTGACCATTTACAGATTAGAGGTACATATCCAATATTTTGTCACAAACTTCTCTGTTACATAGCGGATCATAATGACCCCCAGTGGGGGTCTTCACGCTTCGTTAAAAATTGAAAAATCTCAATATTTTAGACGAAATCTTGAGATCTTATGAGACAATATTGAGATTTTTTATGTACAATCTCCAGATCTTTCAGAAAATCTTAAGATAGAAAAGAAAAGGTCTCAAGATCTTTCCAAATGTTTTCAAAGTATCTTGAGATTTTTCCATAGCATCTCGAGATGCTTTAAGAAATATCAAGCTTTTTTAAAGCAATCTTGGAAAAACGTGAGATCTTTTAAACAATCTTAATATTTCTTAAAGCATCTCGAGATGCTTTGGAAAAATCTCAAGATACTTTGAAAACATTTGGAAAGATCTTGAGACCTTTTGTTTTCATCTCAAGATTTTCTGAAAGATCTGGAAATTGTCATGAACAATCTCAAGATTGTCTTATGAGATCTCAAGATTTCGTCTAAAATATTGAGATCTTTAGAATGAATCTTGAGATTTTTCCATTTTTAACGAAGCGTGAAGACCCCCACTGGGGGTCATTATAATCCGCTATGGAACAGAGAAGTTTGTGACAAAAGATTGGATATGTACCTCTAAGCTGTAAATAGTCAGAGGCATTAGTCCAAAGTGCTCTGCTCATTCCAATAATAATCTGCTCGGTGTTATTTACATTTTGTATCTTCTATGGTTACAACACATTATGCATTGCTCCAAATGAAAACAAGGATAGGAAATTAAGGAAAGTGGACTGGAGTTACATTTAAAGTAATTTAGTGGTTAATGCAGTTAGTAATGCAAATTTTGAAGAGCCTATTGACATTGCCTGAAACCGTGTTTTTGTGTTATCCAGACCTCCCTGCTGCAGTCAAAACACAGAACAGAACTTTATGTACAAAGCCCAACAAACAGTGCGTGGGTATCACTGCACAAGGTAGGACTTTTCCCCACATCTTTTACGCATCCTCTGTTTTTAGTATTATATTTGCAAGGATGCTGAGTCCTTGTGGATTAATTAGTGACAGGCTCAATTTAAAATAATAAAAACAGGCATTATCAACATTCAACATTTTTGGACAATTGTTTAGACCATATAAAGCCATGTGCCAAGTGAAGATGTGTATAAGCTTCAATGGGAGTGGCCTCTTTTCTCTCTTGCCTGTAGACATTATCTAAATGAATGGACAAAGCAGTTAAAGTTGGATGCTACATTAAGTACTTTTATTTTTCAAATCTACCGGTATATGATTTCAGGTGTCCCCAGATATGGAAACACAAGAAGCAGTGAGTAAGGTTTAGTTCAAATTGACTTGCACTTGTTTAATTTGTTACGAATCAAATGTTGAGCAGTGGTTGAGTTTTTTTAAAACCGTAAAAATAAGTAGGTTATAAATATCAATCCTTCCTTGATAAGACTAAGTCTCTATTAGCATACATTGGTCTTTATGATGAGCCTTCTAGATTATGGTTAACATATTTCTTCATATTTCATCACTAAAGTATTTGATAATCACTTTATATTACAAGCTTACACTAAAAAAATGCTACTTATGGATGGCACGTAGGTACAATACACAGCCAACGTCACATTCCTGAGCTGCAATGGTAAGACTGACCCGCTACACTTTGACATCATGGCTGCCGGCGTGCCCCACTCTCTGCGTGTTACAGTGGAACCAATATGCCAGTGTGCTTGTGATGATATAGAACCAGTAAGTACTGCCCCTCTTGTGAAATAGCTTTTGTTAGACTAACAACGTTAACCTTTTGAGTAGATAATTGTTGGAGGAGCTTGGTTTTCAGTCAGCAAATGTGATGTGGACAGAGCAATACAGTTTCCCATTACTAGCTCATCATCGTAGATTTAATTCCTTATTTTGCACAAGATTACTGCTAGCTGAACTAATTGTAGTTCTTGTTGACATGATGATGGTGTGCAGAAATGATGAAGGACTTCCTTCCCTCTGCAATATTCTATTTTTTTTCTTCCAGATGCCGTCCCATCCATCCTGCAGTGGACATGGCAGCCTGAATGGCTGCGGAGGCTGCAGTTGTGATCCAGACCGGTAGGTTGCGCACCTGAGTTAGGTCCTCATATTATTGAAAGATACTTGTTGTACCTTTTTGTTTTTTGTTGTAAAACACCAAAAATATGGTCACCTTGCTAATATTACTGCAACTTTTGGAAATTAAAAAGTTTGACTACCCTCCACCTTATCATCATGGCACTTAGTCTTTTAACTGAGGGGAGATGAATCATGGGTCCAACTTTGTCTTCATCCAGATATGGTGCAAAGTGTGAATGTGACGCCTTAGCTGTCAACGACCCCCTAGTCTGCAGGAGGACAGAAAATGAGCCTGTGTGTAGCGGGCGAGGGGAATGTGTCTGTGGAGTATGTCACTGTTTTCCTGTCGGCCTACCAGATCCAGCGAAGAAATACAGTGGACAGTTTTGTGAATGTAACGACTTTGGTTGTTATTACGCTGACGGAAAAATATGTGGAGGACCAGGTAGAGTTTTCTAAAACTCTGAGGCTTTTTTTGCAAATTTTTTGTTTAACATTCATTGTCAATTTCTCTGTCTACCTCCAACATATCTAAAACAATACCTCCATAATTTGGATCATTATAAGTCTAGAGTAACACAGCTGTTTGTCATTTCTCTACAGATCACGGTAGATGCCAGTGTGGACAATGTGTTTGTGAGGAAGGCTGGGAGGGAACAGCTTGCGATTGTCCCACAAGTGTGGATGCCTGCCGGTCGAGTAACGGGGTATTTAACCTCCATAATATTTATCTGTCTGGCTACATGTTATCTGCCACTCTGAAAAACAGTGTGTTGGAGAGATGTCTATAGAGCAACACGTGCTCCAGGTTATACATTAGTGCATTGTACCGGGGAATGTTGCATAATGATAATTGGAAATCTCTTTAGACAATTTTCTTTGGGCTGGCAATTATACTGTATGTGATCTGGTGCAATTATGTTAGTCAAGTGTACATTAGAAGTTATTTGCTTTTATTTTGGGTTTCACTACACTGGTATTTTGATTGAGTCACCAATGATCTACCCTGGCCTTTTGCATTATATTTCTAGTATCTAGCATTATTTACCTTGAAAAGATGATAACAAAGGTACATAGTATTATGTACACACAATAGATATGATGTTTACCTCACGAAAGGAAACAATCATCATCTCAGCTTTCTGTTCTGCACTTCATTTCCTGTTTCATTTCGTGATAATTTTTCTAAACGGCTCAAGGCTGAATAATTAATTGTTCTCCAGTTGATCTGCAATGACCGTGGCACATGCAGCTGTGGGATCTGCCAGTGTCAATATGACTACCGCGGGCCATCGTGTGAGGATTGTCCGGTAAGAATCTCTGTGATATCTGAAGTAGAAATGCTAACTGATCACTCAGTGAGCACATGGTTTGCAATGGAATATTTCTTTAGTAAGTTAAACTTTTGAGAATAATCATGGCTTACATGTGACATGACGGTCACCATATAGCATCTATCTTTAAAACAAGTCTAATAATGCTGTTTACACCTAGGTTTCCATTCTGAACGTTTAAATGTAAAGACTGAACAATGTATGTCATGGTAACCAAAATTATCCCCTGGGACATTTGTTCGATGGTCTTACCTGAATTTTATATCTATAGAGGACATCTATAGCTTTTAACCCTAATAGTCATTGCACCAAGTAGGTTCCTGCTATCCTCCTTACTAATACAGATAAATATGGCATCTTCCTAAGATTTTGAAGGCTTTACCGACATTGTAAGTTTGTGAGTTCTTGTATCAATGTGCAGACCTGTCCAGGGATGTGTGAGCGGCTGCGTCTCTGTGGGGACTGCATAGCAAGGGAGTCGTCAAACTGCAGTGCTGAGTGTGGGGATACAAAAATCACAACAGTTGATGAGCTCAGTGATGGTATGCTTCAACACTTAAGCCGCAGAGGGTTTTCTGTGATGATCATGCCATTAACCATGTCATAGATTTGAAAAAAAAAATGAGTGCAATAGTTTAATAATTCTTAACAATAGTGCCCATTTCTTCTCAAACCTACAACACACGGCAATATCATCATGGGAAAAAAAAACAATATAGGTGCATTGCATGTTATACAAAGCAAGGGAAGAAAAACATTCATGGCTCATGGCTTGAGAATGAGATTAACTAAATAGGAAATATTTAAGGAAAAGTTTTAATTGCCAAAGTACATGTAATATTACCACATATGCCTGTTAAGTAAGAAAGTTTTTTATTATATTTTTATCCGACTACAGGTTATTCTGATGGTGTGGAATGGAAACTCTGCAGGTTTAAGTACTTTGGAAATGACAGACTGGAGAGATTATTTGTATTTGCCTATGGCTACGAAGGAAACCAGGTGGTGCTACAATACAGTAAGTGGAGTTTCATTAAAATTTACAATGTCATGATGTAGCAATGTAACAGGTATATGTATGGCCCTGGTTTATCTTGTAATACACATCTCTTTTTTTCTTGTTTTGTATATAATTCAATTTATGTGCTTTTTTTCTTTGGATGCCTTGTTGAGGTTAACATCAACTCTCACACCCAGTAATTCTACTGGGTACTTAAGTGAGACTGCCATGCTGAAAATAAATTAAGTGAATCTAAAGAGATTGTCTAATGCAGCATCAGTAACCTCTGAGGTATGCGCACTTCTGATATCCAGGTGATCAAGACATTCTTGAGAAGGCCTCAATGTTTTAATGTGATAGTCTTACAGTACCCGTTGGAATTATGAGAAGTGTTAGAAGCGGTACTAAGAATTTTTTTCTGTAACCTCTAGGCTCCAGATCTTTAAGTCCGTCACAGATCCCAGGAGCCCCAGGGTCGCTTAAGCTGCAGGCTGTGTCCAACACCATCCTCCTGACCTGGACGGCCCCGTCAGCACCTGAGACAGAGGTGGATGGGTACCAGATAGGGTACGGTCCCGGCACTCCTGATGAGGAGTTTGTACGAGTTGGTGGGGATGTAAGGACACATGTCTTAAAGGACCTTGGTAAGAGGGTATTTTACTCTCCAAGTTTTTATGTGTACATTTGATGCCTATTATGACTTCTTTCTCTTAGACAAAGACACATTTAAAAGTGTCTTTAGATATGCAAGAGTGCAGTATACTCGATGTTGCATTGGAGATCTTTTTGGATGCATCTTTTTCATAGTGGTGGATATATATGACCTGGTGGAATTATGTTACTCATAACTTAGGTCTGTCCTTGGTACTGAAAACATGTTTTTTTGTCTAGAAAACATGCTTTTAGTACCAAGGACAGACCTAAGTAATGAATCTCTTTGATCTAAAGTTGTTACTTTTCAGAACCAGATACCCAGTACATTTTAAGTCTTCGAGCTTTCAATAGAATGGGACAAGGGAGACCCATCTATGAAGTTACCAACACACTGTCTAGAGGTGAGAGCACTTTGTATTGTAGAAAGGTCTATTAGTATGCCAATGAAATGGAAATTTGCTTTGAGAAGTACCATAACAGTCATATTTCTCCTTTCTTTTATGAAGCAGAAAATACAAAATGTAGGTGAAAAATGGTACTGAAAATTTTCGAGCCACCATTGGCTGTACTTTTAGATGTTGTCATCCGTGGACAATGTAACAGTTACGTTGTTGAGAGGTATATAATTCACCTGTAATTCTACCTCTTGCAGCCTCCCCTAATACAGATGCTCCACTACTGACACCTGTTGGGCTGAAGACACAAGTTCTGGGACCCAACACAATTCTGGTGTCCTGGACAGACCCCAACTTGAGTGAAAACCAGCTTGTAGAGAACAGATACTACACAGTAAGGTTCGTCATTAGACTGCCATAGAGGTCAACTTTTCTGTGTCTGGGAGAAGTCTGTGCTATTTACATTTGATATACATGTTGTCAAATGAAACTTTCATTCAGCAATATCATTTTGTTAAGAGCAAAATAAAATAACTTAAAGTGTGACCTTAACTCTCACATAAAGAATATCTAATAATGATGTAAATTATTGAAATTGTGGATCTGAATATATGCACTCAAACTCACTAAACCCACCACGCAACATCATCTAACATCAGTAGGTTCCAAAGGGCCACTTCTGATTTTCACTACTTATATGCCTGCACTGATATTGCCCACTCTGTTCCACATCTTGAATCTTCTTATTACTCTAGTATAGATAACTGCCTTACGGATTGTCTCCCAGTAATCTTGAGGGTTAACTTTGTGACTTCTCTGTCAGGTGGATGGCTGTAGGCTCACCTGATAGGAAGACATCTTACATCAACACCAACAATCTGGAGTACAGTGTAACAAACCTCAGGCCGTACACCAAGTACGAGTTCTCTGTCAAAATCATGGAGGGCAAGAGACTGAGTCCATATAGCGTTACAGTCGTCAACAGCACCTCACAACAGGGTGGTGAGTGGAATATTTTGGTCTGTTTAAGGGTAACCATTTCTAAAACATTTTAAGAGGTAAGAAGCTCAATATTCAGGGAAGACTTTGTCTATGCCAGATTAAAAGTTGCATGCAATTTCCATTGTTTGACCATCTGTTTAACCCAGTCAAAGTCCTTCCTACACCATTCATGGCTGTGCCAATCTCCATTTCTTTAGCCCTGGGTCACACAACATTGTGCAATTGCTATAGAAAGGGGGCTAGTCCACTGGTAGTGTTGTGTGTGTTCTCCTCCCCAACTTCCTGATTGCTCAATGATAAGCAGGGAAAAAAAAAAAGCAGTATGTACCATTTTTAAAGTCTTTGACATGAGATCAAACTAACAACCTACTGAGTGCAAGGTGAACACACACATCCATTAGGGCATTGCACCAGTCACAGTTGACTCAGTGGAAACTTCAAACTCCTCACAACCTCTAATATGATATTCAACAGTTCCCCCAGAGCCTATACCTGCAGCACAGGTACCAGGCACTCCTGCCTCCCTGCGTCTACAGCCTGGGCCCGACTCTATCAGACTCATGTGGGCCCCACCAGCCGGCCCTGACTCTCAGCTGCAGGGATATGTGATTGGATACGGGCAGGGAGTAGCTGACGTGGAGAGAGTACAAGTTGGTCCTTACGTCACGACATATGTTCTAAGAAATCTTGGTAAGTAGATACTTTTTACCTATAAAGACCACTCAGGGAACCAACAAAATGTGGACAGATGGTCACTGTAGACAGGATTTTTAATGCTTGTGTCTATAGGAGAAATTATGTTAAGGGCCACCAAAAAGTTTTCACATTGGCCAGAATGTCCTAATGTAGAGGTAGTCACTTGTACAATTATTGATTTGCTATGTTCAGTGTATGGTACTCACAGACAACATGACATATCATGTTGCATCATTGAAAAAGAATCTTGTGTAAGGTTAGCATTTCACAAGGCTACTGTGAACTGTGTTGTAAATGTAAATTTAAAGCAAACTTATTCCAAAGTGTCTAGAAATAATTTTTGACCTTTTTGTCCTGTCACAGAGCCAGACTCTCAGTATGTTGTGAGTCTGCGTGCATTCAACAGGATTGGGGATGGAGAACCTGTCTATGTAACAGCCAGCACATCGCTGACAGGTACCAATGGTCATTATTACTTGCTTCATTGATTTCAATTTCCTGTGACAATAAGTGACTCACCTAACACCAGCTGTTCTTTTACTACAATGCAGGTCCATTGATGCCTCCTGTTGAGGTGAAGGCTGTAGTCCTAAGTCCCAACACAATCCTGGTGTTCTGGACAGACCCTACTGTTGGAGAAAGTCAGGCAGGAATGCAGCGATTCTACACAATAAGGTCAGTAGGCTGTTACAATGTGTCTGAGGTTATGTCCTTTTGGCAGGCAAGCTCTAAGGACATAGAGCTTCTCATTGGCTGATTCCCTATCTTGATGCATTACCATCCACTTTAAGGCTCTTACAACACTATCATTTGTAGCAAAGTGAAAGAGGATTTAATTTCATATTTCTTGATTACTGTACATTCTTATCTATACATTTGATAACATGTTTTGTACTATATCACCTTCTCCTGTTATGGTTAGAATGATGACATTGCATACTTTCTTTGTCAGATGGATGTCCTTTGGTGCTCCAGATAGGACGACTGTCTATGTAAACACCACCAGTACAGAGTACAGTGTGTCTGGTCTCAAACCTTACACTCAGTACGAGTTTTCAGTGAAAGTTGTAGAAGGCAGAAGAGAAAGTCCTTACAGCCTCTCAGTAGTCAACAGGACTTCACAAGCCAGTAAGTAACCCCATAACTTTTTTTCTGTACTGTACTTACGTTACTTTGCATATTGACTTGTTTTTGTTTATCTACAGAAATGATGGGAAAAAGTAGGTGTGGCAATGTTAACAATATCCAAAACAGTAAAAAAAGCATGGAGCATGTTGAAGAGAGCACAGTTCTCCCTTTTCCATTCAAAATGTGCCATAATGTAATTTGGTGTACTGTCTTATTTTTTGTTCTGCAGTGTGTTGACACATTCTTTGCATACTAGGAGTGACATTGCATTACCGGGCATTGCATTAAAGGATTTGTATTGATTTTGACAAAGACTTTGCTAACATTGCTGACACTCTTGTTTGTGTTGTAACTATTCCCCAGACCCAGGTACTCCACCCCAGGACATCACTGTACAAGGAGTGGAGGAAAACCCAACTCAGGTCATCATAACCTGGCTTCCCCCTGAAGAGCCCAATGGCATGATTACTGGTAAGACATCTAAAGACCAGCAACCAGGCAGAGAATGTGCCTTGCATGGTGCAGAGAGATCTTGGATTGTCTTTCCAGCTTCAAATGTCCCCTCTTAATCCATGAATCTCTCCATTAGAGTTTATAGACTTTTATGTAAGGGTTTATTGCAGCTACATTTTATATATATCATTTTTATATGTAGCATTTAAATTTGCACTGATCTTACAGAAGGCCCTTTATTTCATCATCAATTTTTAGTAACATCAAATGCTCTCATGTAAAAGTATATGAAATAATTGCATTGTTTACAGTACACTGTTTGTTATAGTTACATGTATAGAACTCTACAATTTATTCTACGTTATGTCATCTGTAGGTTATGTAGTCCTGTACACCACTGATCTGAGGAAGCCTACATCAGAGTGGGGAGTACGGCAGCTATCTGATGGCAACAAGCTGCAGTTCAAGGTTACTGACCTGGAGCCTGGAACCAGATACTACTTCAGCGTTCAGGCCAGGAACTCTGTAGGATACTCACCAAAGTCAGCAACTGTGGAATTCCAGACTATAGATGGTATTTATTATTATTTTATCTGATTATTGTCTGTTTGACATAGGATACCAAATAAAGTATTTTGACATTCTGAATCTTAAACCATACCTATGCAACTTCATGACAGTATAAACTTGTATGTGGGGCCATTAGGTGTGAACGTGTTAGGAAACGTGTCCTCTGTAATAGTTGAGGCAACAACAAATTCTACTGAGTACCCTAAGATTGCCACATTGAAAAATCAGTGAATTTAAAGCGATCTAGTAAATTGCAGAATCAGTACTCCCCAAGGTATGCACACTTCTGATATCTAAGGTGTTCAGGACATTCTTGAGAAAGCCAAAATAATACTGTATGAATATCGTGGTCTTAGGATACTTGGCAGGATTATGAGAGTTGACATTATAACTTTGTTCGTAGATGAGAAGGCTGCTGAAGAAGCTTCCTGTCGTCAGACAAAGACCAGCCCCCTGTGCTCGGGCCACGGTGACTGTGTCGCCGGCTTCTGCCAGTGTCACGCCCACGCTGCCCACCCTGACTCCAGGTACTATGGGAAGTACTGCGAGTGTAACAATCTGGGCTGCCCTTACAGTCGTGGGCTCAGGTGTGGTGGTAAGTATACAGCCTATTTGTTATAATATGCACAGTCAGCCTGCAAAACAACTTAACAACAACAAACTTATCAACCAAGAAGTCTTGTAAATGTAAAAAAAGCAAGTTACATTTTCTTTTTTCTGAAATTTTTTTTAGTTTGAGTGTGTTTTCCATTGAACAGGTCATGGTTACTGTGACTGTCGGTTGGAAGAGGGAGGAAACAGCTCCTGTGTGTGTGAAGCTGGCTGGACTGGTCCTGACTGTGACTGTTCAATGGATCCAGGTCCTTGTCGTACAAACAATGGGGTATGTAAACTTTCATAACACGTTACAAACTTCACTCCATACATAGCCACAGCAACTTCAGCACCATGGACAGGTTAGGTCCTGTCTACATCTATATCAGCATTACATTGTGTATATGAAGTTTATGCACATAGAATTACAACATTTACCTTTCTAACAACAGTTCTTGAGATTTAAAACCACAATTTGCTGTTTTTACAGTAATAATCTTGCTTATCTTAAACAAAAGTGCTATGTAACTTATGTAGCAATGACCTCAGAGTCCGTTTTAGGTAATATGCCCTCATCACCAATAATGTTTTACTATCTACTATATCCTATCAGATCTCACAGATTACTGCTTGTTATCTAATTTGTTGATGTATTCCTTATTAAAAGTGGTGCTGTTGCCCCAACTGATTTCTTTTGTCTCGCAGGGTTTATGTAATAACCACGGTGTGTGTTCATGTGGAGTGTGTCAGTGTGAGGAGCCCTACACAGGACCTACTTGTGAAGACTGCCCGGTAATTTTATTCATCTGCCAAAATCGTAAAAAAAGTGTGTAAACCATTGGCCCAATGGCATGTTTTGTTATTTCCAAGGATTTTTGGTTGAGTTCTTCTGGGTGTAGTCTTTGGAGCTGATGTATCCAGATTGCCTATGCTGATGTTCTGATGTGAAATGCTGATCTTGTGATGTGTTGCCTTGTGATGTGTAGACGTGCCAAGGCAGCTGTACTCAGCTGCGAGCCTGTGCAGAGTGTGTGGCTAACAACCATGTGGACTGTGACGCTGACTGTCGCAGCACCAGTGTGTCTTACATGGACGACCTTCCCCAGGGACCCCTTCCTGCAGGTTAGGAATCCTCTTTCACTTCCGTGTACGGAAGTATTGCTTCGGGTGGCCGAGTAATAGGTTTATCTGTTCAAATAGCTTCAGTTGCATAGTGGGTGGGAGCTGATTTTGACAGTTGATTGATAGGACTTATGCCTGATGTTGGCCCTGCACACACCAGGTGTACATAAGAGGATGGTATAGGATGTGTTTACATGTGTAAAACAGAACATACTTTTTTCTTCTACAGGAAAATGGAAGCTGTGTGAGTTTGTGGACCCTGAAAAGAACCTTCCCTTTGTCTTCTCATATGACCCCGACTCAGACCGCATTGTCTTACACTCCAGACCAAGTAAGTTTAGGGCATTGTTCAGACAGGGCTATGTTTATATAATTTCATTCAATGGCATTGGCAAGTGATACATAACAAATGTAACACAGAGGTGTTAAATACCCAATTTCTTGTTCATAGCTGAAGTTATGCCCAGTTCCACAACACCAAAGTCAATCACCACCACCAGCCCAGAGCCTGACCAGCAGTCTACCACAGCAACAGGAGGAGATGGAACACCAGCCACCAGGACACGTCCACGAACCACCCCGCGGCCATCCCGGATCTCCCGCCTCCTGCCATGCTGTGTTCTGTCTGCTAACGAGAGGTAGTAGTTTGTTTTTTGTTTGTTTGAGCCTTTGTTTATTCAAGAAATACTGTTGGCTGCTTTCATGATCATTAAGGTCATGAGGGAAGAGGTTAGGGCCAGACAGTAGTAGACTGGTTTATTTCCACAAAGGGAATAAAAGTCTTGCTGGTACAAAACTGTATTATACATATTATGTACAATGAAAATTGGTTCATTCAAAGATTGATTTAAGCCTAATTCAGTAATTGTTACCTTGACAGGTGTCAGGACAAGTGTGGACGAGTCCTGCTCACTGCCACCAACAACCAGCAGATCCTGAGAAGCCTGATCTCTGCCTGTGGCATCCCCAGTGTGACCGACCCTCTGTGGAACTGTTTCCTACAGGCCAACTCTGCAGACAGAGAGGTGGTACCACCACCTACACCACAGCCATTACCAGGTAACAACTGAGCTGTCAAACTTCTGTCCACTCCAGGTTTATCACTCTGACAACACAGTATGATCAGCTAGACAAACCGTACTTTACTTTCACCATCGATGATGCTGAGTTTTGAGGACATTGCAAAGGTTCTTGCTTTTTATTTTCATCCCGTAGTCAACACAGGCATTCTAGTACAAGTAAAGTTACATGTCATTGAATGGATCTCTCAAATATTGTACATTTTTTGTACATCTCTACTTGACAGCAATATTGACTTTTGTGAACTGTTACTATTTACAGAGAGAAAAACAAGGTTATATCCTGCCTCCACCAGCACCACACAGCCTACAACAACAAGTATGAGATGTTTTTTTTTATTTCACTGAATGATTTCAACCTCAAAATCTTTTATATCTTTGCTGGCTAGTTATTGACAATGTGTAAAGAATATATGATTTAGATATTACAAAATCTAGCTAATAGTATGTTAATTCTTTTATTCACAGAATGCTATGATATGGCAGTTTCGTGTACTTTAAAAGTTATATTATATAAAGGCTTTCATGACATACTTGCACATTACAGTTAGAGAGGAGGATGCAGACACAACAGTTCCTCCCACAACAACATTGCTTCCCACTACAACAACAGCACCACCTACTACAACAGTTCCTACAACCATTCCTACAACAGTTGCTACAACAACAGGTGATACTAGAAGTACAATTAAAGTTAGAGTTTGGGTTGCAATATGAAGGTGTTGAACAGCAGATGAACTTTCATGCTAATGACCAATGCTGTTTTATTTACCATTGACAGTGAAAATTTGGATATTGCATGTTTCGGTAATCATTCATTTGATTTGCCAGCAGTTTACTTTGTCACGTCTTATTACAAAATTTAATATATTACAAAATTTAATCAACAAATGTCCATTATTCTCCACATCTCCACTATAACATGCCTTTAATTTGTTTGACAGAAGTGAAGATACCAGAGAGGAACTGTGAAGATGAAATTTGCCCAGTTACGTGGTGTTCCTACCCCTACAGGCCTCCGGGCACATGCTGTCCTATATGTGAAGGTATGTGTTTCACATCCCATCACACTTCATACTTTGTGTAATAATCATATGAAACTGTCAATATGTCTACAGCATGCTAACCCTTAGTACTATTAGTAATAGTAGGACATGTTATTTGTGATATTTGATACAAGAGATGGACAAGTTAGAAGATTTGATGGTACACCATGTGCACCACTTAAAAGTTACTAGAATTTTGAATAACTATCCAATACTGTTACCCAACAACCATTGGTGTCACAGTGAAAGGTTTAAAAAGTCAAGGCTACTATTGATATCTGATGTCTAAGTACTTCATTCCTGTTTGTTCTTACAGATTGTGACTATGAAGGAAAGTTTGTGGAGAATGGAGATATCTTTGTGCTGGAGGAGGATGTCTGCACCATCTGTTTATGTGCAGTAAGTTAATTTGTTTGAATCCTTTTCATTGTCTCATAACATAAGATAATGCAATGTACATGACATTTATGTGTTGTGATATTTGCACCTGCATCCTTTGATTCATGTACTAGATCACGCTTAACTCATGCATGTTGCTCTCAATCACAGCTTGGCTGGGTTGACTGCAGCCCTGCCTTCTGTCAAGAGTTGTCCTGTAACAAAACTATCGTGCCTCCTGGAAAGTGCTGTCCTGTATGTGAAGGTAAGATATCAGTCTACATACAATCACAAACAAACAAATACATAAAGCATTTAATTACTAATCTTGCTCGTTTTATACTTGAGAAGAAATTCCTGTCTTGAATCTAACTGTCCGATCTGATTTTTAAACCTTTCAGATGACTATATTCTACTAGGAGGACTACCAGACTATTCACCAACATCAGGTTGGTATAATTTGTGACATGTAAAAGATTATTTTTTATTTAAGATTGTTTTGAGAACCAAACACAATTACAAATGTATGGCAACTTAAATAGTTCACTTTCATAACCGTGACTTTCCTGAGTTTTGAAAAAGATGAAACATTCAAATGTGCCCTTTTATTTAAAAAAGAGATTGACATCTATGGGGAAGAGTTTGACAACTGCCGTCCCATCTACGGCCCGATCTGCTCCGGCCATGGGACGTGCGTCAACGGGGCATGCCAGTGTGACTCCTTCCCAGAAGAACCTGAGAAGTTGTACTACGGGCCACACTGTGAGTGCAACAACTTTGACTGTGACAGCCACGAGGGACAGATATGTGGTGGTGAGTACATTGTACTTATTCATATCTCTATGGAAATTATCATCCAACAAATATTGTTAGGATATGAATGAATCTTAATGATGCTATCCCTATCATATTTCATGGCACCTTAACTTGTGTTAACATGTTCTTTCTGATATCCTTACATGGCTGCTTAAGTTTAATGTTTAATGTTTTTAGTTGTCTTAATAGTTGTCTTAATTGTGAAGAAGAGCATAATGCAGTGTATGACATGCATGTAAGTATTGTACCAGAATTGTGGGCATGTACTTACAGGCCATGGGCAGTGTGAGTGCAGCTCCTGCCTGTGTGACGTGGGGTGGGAGGGGTCAGCCTGCAACTGTTCTGTAGCCGTGGAGCCCTGTACTGCACTGAACGGGGTAGGTGCCAGTCTTCTTGTATGCAGGTGGAATTAAAGGTGTCTGTTTCTGCACTGAAGCTGACAGTTGGAGCCAGATGAATAACAAAGAATTACTTAATCCATAAATAACGATGACTAAATATATTCAATTATTCAATTCAATTGATGAACACTGGAAGTGAATAACAAGAGGCTAATCCTTGGAGAATGTGGTCAAAATGTGATTCCTTGCCAAAGAATATCCGATCCTTACAGTTGTAAGCAAAGACTGAGGTGAAATGCATGTACTAGCTGACTGCCTTTTTTCCAGCAACTGTGCAACCGCCACGGGGTGTGCGAGTGTGGTGCCTGTCAATGTGAGGATGGATACACAGGACCCACATGTGAAGACTGCACGGTAATCTATTTATTTCCAATCTATTTCAAGTCATATTAATTAACAGAAATCTAAAAATTTGTTTCTCCTTCATGAGCTGATCACACCATGTAACTCCTAAGGTTGTGATTCAGTATCTTTTCAAACTTCCCAATAAAGTAATACATGACTGTATCAATTGATAGTTTGTTCTGAACATGTAATATTTACTACAGGACTGCCCGGAGCTACAGTGTGAAGACTTTGAGACCTGTGTGGACTGCATGTACTGGGAGCTAACAAGTGGCTGCACTGAGGACTGCAACAACTTTGAGAGCCCAGTTATCATGGTGGACAAATTGAACATCACTGAAGGTAACACAGAAAAGAAGATTACATGGATGCCAAGAATGAAATGAATTGTACATGTATCACTTTTAGTCAAAATGTTTAACTGGAAAGTGTTGGGGAACACAGAAGCTTTAATATATATTTGATACCATGATTAACATATATTTTGTAAACTAGTACTCCCATGTAACATTTAGTACGTTTTATAAACTCTATTTACTTACTGCGTGTCTAACTGAATATGTATTACTAAGTAACAATGTTTCTCACTATTTGAAACTGTTCTCTAGAACTGAAGGCAGGAAGAAAACAGTGCCAGTACATTGCAGAGGACCTGCTGGATGAATGCTATGCAAACTACACTTATGGATACAACGAAGAAGGAATTATAGACATACACATCCCATCAGGTAGGGACAGCAATTTTTACCTCTGCATACCGAGGTTTTGTTTAAAGCGATGCCTCAGGGGTGGAGGCATTTTTTTTACAGTATTACAAGAGTTGAGGGAGGGGAAGAGTGGGGCGAAGACTTGCTTTACTTTATTGTTTTGTAGAGAATGCAGCTGGTGTTTCATAGTCTGTCAGGAATGAAATATCTCTTTTGCTTTATTTCAGCCGTAACATGTGACTATCCAGACTATAGTAACTATGACTGGGACTTTGATGAAGAGGATTTACCTGATTTTGAGTACAAGTGAGAGGAAATTCACAGTGACTGAACATATAGCCCACACAATAACTCAATCATCCTGCATGTCTTTTTCTACATCAACATTATAATTGTGAAAAATAAGTTCATAATTGTTTAATCTTCCAAAGTATTTTCCTTGCCATACTTCATTTTATGTATGTCAAGCATTATGATTTTATTTTGAATCAATCGATTGATGGTGGTAGAAAAATATTAATTTGCTCATTGCCATCAAGTATATTTATAGGTAAGCAATTTATTAGTTTAACTGTGGGGAAATGAAAGTATGTTGCACACCACCTTTTCTTGGTGGTGTTGTTGTCTTAGCTGTAATTTCAGAAAAAAAAAGTATAGTATATAATGTATGATGTTGCTTACACAGTAGCAATTTTAATTGCGAAGATTGATTTATTCCAATCAGCAATCAATGTATGATGAATTTGGTTCAATGTATTTAAGCTATAGGTACTTGTAAATTCCATTCAGTGATAAATTGTAGAGATTTTATAGTCAATGGTAAGCAACTTATCCCCAAAATTAGAAGAAAAAAAAGATTCATGGGACACAGGGCTTAGACCATCGCCATGACTGGTACAAATGTAGGTCAAGTACTTCAGTTACAGTCATTACTTGTTATCCTACCATGACAATAAAGGGCTCCTGTATACATTGTACATGTACCAAGTCCTGTCTTTGATTTTAAGTTGATTTTTATTGATTCTTGGCAAATGTTTACAATAAAGCCATGTATAATGTATAATAGCAATGATTTACTGTATACATAACAAAAAGCAAATGGTACCAAATATAACAGAATATATAAAAACTGAGCAAATATGCACATGCAACGTGTTGGTAGCAACAAAACAAGGACCTGCCTTGTCTGCACATGAGTAGTATTTACAATTGCTTGTCTGTTAAAAATGAATGGTTAGATTTGTTATAACTATACATAAAGAGCTGTTCTAATGCACATTAGTAAATCTTCAACATGAAGACCCCATAATTGAATGAAGAACTTATCTAAGTGTATTCAAGGAAATTATATAGTATTTGCCAAAGACTAAGTCTTGTACTTGAGGCAGAATTCTATCACTGATTCATCTATACATTTAGATTAGAGTTACATGTACCCATTCCACATTCATAGTGTGACAACTGCTTTCCCAACTTTTGAGGGAACTATACTGTTGTACATGCAACTTGAACTGTAACTCAAAAAAGGAACATGAATTCAACTATTTTCCACAAATGAACAGAGAAACACAATGGTTACAGAATGTTAAACAAATATTACACAATGTCATACAGTCTATGGGCAACAACTAAATGCCTCATTACACTTAAAGTGTTTCAAGAAAACAATGATATCATACAATGTAGTTGCTTCATCTTGAAGTATTTTATAATATACTAAGTTTGTTACTATGTATTTAATATGTACTAAATACTGGCAGTAATGATGGAAAATTCAAATCTTACAAGTACACTAAGTCTCTTATTGCTACTGATACATAATATAAGAATTATGATGTTTAAGGCACAAGTTTCATACAAATATAAGACACTCAGCACAGCTCTTTCCTAACCAATTGACTGTTCATAATGTCCTGAAACATCTGTACATCACTGAACACTTCAGTGAACAGTTATCAAAATGACTGCAATGGAAGAAAGATGCCAAGATGTTGCAATATATCTGACACATGTACATTTAAAATGAGCCAGATACAGTTTGTTTCTCAGGCAATAGAAAATAGAACAGGGACTTGAATGTCCCTATTTTCATACAGGAAAATGTATATGTTTTCATTTCCACTGCCCTTCTATCAAAAAATAATTCTGCATTTACATTGCCCAGATCATGTTTAGAGGATATCAAAGGTACAGTGTACAACATCGTATGTATACCATTATCATTATGAGTTTGTTAATTTGTCATATCATCATGTCTTGAAAGTGAAATATACTATGATTTGCACAGTGTACTGTGTCATACACATTGTACCTGTCAGATTTTTATACACATTATATAGTAAGGCACTGTGTGATTTGTAATCAACTTTATGTATATTGCATTCATAACCTCACATCAGTCAACCTTTAATGAGCAAATACATTTCATAGTTACAAAAGCTATTCTGTCTAATGCAGAACACACTACATTGTGTATTATTTCTGTTTGTAAAGATTATTTTCAGTTGAAGCAACTTATAATTGCACTACTCTATTTTTTGCATGGCATATACAGAATCACAACTGCCGACTCTATAACTATGTTTTCATCAGGATAAGTATCATTAATATTTGTGTTGTACACAAAGTATTGGTAAAGGCTAATCTAGTTGCCTCTTGGAAGCACTTGCTAAAAATCTTACCAGAAAAAACAAAGCTGACTCAGGACACTTCTTCACTTCTTGCATTAACAAGGGTCTAGAAACATCCTGAAAATGCTACATTTTGCAGAGTGTTTGTGAAGAGGTTTTACAAGACACATTTACATGTACCTCTGGTCTGGAATCAGCTTATATAGCTATATCATACTACATAATATTTTTCATGTACATGTACAAGGCATGTTCTTTACAAAGGCACATGCTGGGAGAAGTTTGGGACTACCTATTCCCTTGATTGAGTGAGAAGTTCTTATGGAAAAAGTCAGAGACCTGAAATACAAAACCTGTCTTCTTCATATTTTTAAAAACTGCTAACACACATTTGTTGGAAAAGATTATACAATCCCCAGACTGTATTTACAGTGAATTCTTTTCGGATATCTTACATGACTACATGTACTATTTCATACCTCATTAGGAGTAGTATTCATTTGAAACATGGCAGTCTGGTGATATTGCATGACACTGTTTGTGCAAATGTCTTTGCTGTTTTTTTACCCTTACATTCCTCAATGAACCGAGCATGTCACCACAAGGAGTTTGTTCTTCCGTTGGGGATGTTGACGTAGACGGCCGGCTGCTGCATCAAGACATGGTCATCAGGGGTCAGGTCGCTGGAGGTGCGAGACAAGATGGCCTCCATCTCGGCCACCAGCTCGGAGAACGTTGGACGGTCTTCTGGCTCTGATGACCAGCAGCGCAGCATGGTCTGATACCTGCAGAGAACATGGAAATGGTTGCTTTTTTCTCAGGTTGCTCATTGAACTGCATATCAACATGAGAAATCAGTCTAGATTATTGGAAACTATTTAGAACAAAGATCAGTGAAGATTGTCAAAGTCAGATTTAGGTGAAATGAATGAGATAGCCTTAAACAAAACTTGCAGTTAGATGTGAAAAGGCTACATGTAGGTCTGACAGGTTACTCAATATAATATATGAATGAATACTAGAAAGGCCAATATTTGCTTTGGAGCAAATACAGCGATGGGTTCACCGCATTTTACGACATGGCAGGGAAAGAATGAGAAACACAAGGGAAAACAATGATTTACATTGATATAACTATAATATGAAGTAACATACAACTAAAACAACAGTTGGATAGCTATTCCCTACTTTATTGGTTAGGATTTTTAATTGCATAATGCAAACTGTTGATTTTCAAAATAAAAAAAAAACGTTCATGCCCCGCATTCCAATGCTGGAGCAGAAAAGCTTGAAATGCCTACCAAAACACTTGAATAAAGACATACTGTCAGTATGGAAATACTCTGTGCAGGTGTTAATCAAGTTAAATCCCAACAGCCAATCAGCAAGAAATGCTCTGTGCAGGTGGAAATGCTCAGTGTGCAGGTGTTAATCAAGTTAAATTCCAACAGCCAATCAGCAAGAAGTATAGAGGAAAGCTGCATGCCTATTGGTTGATGCCCTGCATTCCATTGTGATGACTCATGCCCAGACGTGGTAAACATGGCACACTAACACAGTAATACATTAGCTATAATACAGCCAAAAAACTCAAATAAAACCATTCTAAAAGCCTGTATCACAAACATTTAAAAAACGCCTAGGGGTATTTGCCCACTGTACCTCCATACCAAATTTCAGGACCTTAGGCCCTAAAATGAAGAAGCTGAATCCATTTAAAAAATGGCAGGAGGAGAAGGAGAAGGAGGAGAAGAAACATCAGAAAAAGCAATATGGTTTCACCACACCACTTCGTGGTGTGGTGAACCCATAATAACTAGATACCGCCACACTGCATGCATGCCAAGCTGGTGTGTTACACTGAGGGGCAGTTATAGTCTGGCTAAACAGATGTACAGAACTGATGTAGAATATGACACGTGTACTTACAATGCTTCCTGGCAGTGCCTGGGTTTGCGCAGCCTGCGACCCTGCAGTAGGTACTCCGTCACGTCCATGTTGTCCACATCAGGGTACGGGATCACTCCTCGTGTCCAGATCTCCCACAGAACCACTCCATATGACCACTGGGTAAAACAATAACAATTATATTGACATATCACAGTGCAAACATACAAGAGAGTTAGTGTCAGACTTCAGAACGTGTATTTTGTTCAGTTTTGAATTCTGTGGTACCAAACCTTCAAACTGAATAGCTTTCAGTACCATGGACAGCCATCACCTGTTTTCTTGATCAACATAAGCTTTTGTTACATCTAACTCTAGGCATTGCTAGTTACATGTATGAAGTGAGGATACTCCATACTGTGCTGGGTAATGACTTCTGCTCCGGGATTGTTATAGTACATCATACCCACCACATCAGTTTTGGTGGAGTAGATTCCATCAGTCAGGCTCTCGATGGCCATCCACTTGACGGGCAGCTTGGCTCGCTTGTCCCCACTGCTGTAGTACTCACGCTCGTAAATGTCACGGGACAGGCCGAAGTCTGCCACTTTTACTGTCAGGGTGTCATCCAACCTGTTTAGTAGGGAAAATTGTCATGTGTCAAAAGATAGCCCATGCGGTCACTGTGGAGAAAATCTAACAAATATTTGTTTTAAAAAATATTTACATCTAAAAGCAGTGTTACTGAAGAAAAAGGATTTGACATGAATGCATTCTTCTTCATGTCTTGTATGAATCAAATAAAAAAGTATGCTACAATATCAGTCTTAAAGTGCATCTAATTCAGAAGAAGATACAGAGATATGCTTACATGCAGTTCCTTGCAGCCAAGTCTCGATGCACAAACTTAAGGTCACTTAGGTACGCCATTCCTCGGGCAATGTCTCTCCCAAATGTGAGCAGGTCCCGTCGGGTCAGGGTCTATCAGAAGTAAGGATTACAGTATATGTAAGTGTACAAGAACTCTACAAAACTTAAGAATAGTATTGGCCTTTTTGCTCCTGTACTCACAGCCTTTGAAAACAGTTATGTGGCTACAAAGTCAGGTGAATTATTTTGGTGGTTTTATTTTACAGTATGAGGTGTTTTATGGTTTCTAAAGTTCATAGTGGAAACCATTCTGTAGTACAATAGAAATACAAAACACGTATTTGAGGTGTCACGAAGAGAGGTCACTGTGAAAAAAAGCAACAATAACACTACTGTGAAAGTATCACAATTCATAGTAACAATGCTAAACATGTCTGCTCCATCACAACCCCCCACCTTGTCTGGGTCCCTGAGGAAGGTGGCGAGGTCGCCGTGTGCCATGAAGGGCAGGATGACCAGGGGAGGCTCGTCCGCAGCCATGCACACCCCGATCAGAGTCAGCACGTTGGGGTGGTTAAAGTCCTTCATCATGATCCCCTCACCCAGGAATGCCTCCAGCTCATCAGAGTTAGACGCATCTGTTGGGCACAGGTATCAACTGGTTAGATCTATACATTTTACTTGTTTACTGGGATTTATCACATTTGTGGAAGGTATGACATAACAGGTGACTATCACGTTTTCATGATGTCAACACTTCACGGCCCCCTCCAACTCTTTTTAATTTGCAATCTGCATGCATGAGAAATTACAGAAACAGCCATAAGACAATACTCATGATAAATCTAGGAAATATAAAACTTGCTGGACTGATACAGTCATTCTGTTTTGTAATAACAGTTTTTTAGGTTTTTCTGAACAACATACGTTTTAGAGTCTTGACTGCTACGTCCATCTCATCCTTCCCTTCACCTGACTTCAGTTTTCCTTTGAAGACCAGTCCAAAGAAGCCTGCCAGGAGAAACAAATTGCATATAAGCTTTGAAACTGTACAGAATATTTAATGAAAGCCATGATTGATGTCTTAACAATGTTACATTGATGACATTGACATATCACAAGGCAGGAAACAGTGGGTTTAAGAGACCTTTATTACAGTACAATGTATATAGAAAAATTAAGCCATACCCTTGCCAATGACAGCTTCCAGAAACACCCTCTCCCTGTCAATGAGGATGTCTTGTAGAAACAGGGGGATGGTCTCCTCCAGTTCCAAGGGTGTACTCGGGGATGCAGTAGCAAACGCTCCTTCTGGGACATACTCATTTGCTTGGGTTCCTTCTAGGCCACCTGCACGTGTGAGGTTTCAGAGCACATATTAGTTCAATGGTATCTAGTACTCTTACTGTAATGTTACATTCAATATACAATGTATAATTCCATGGATTTGATACTTCTATGGATTTGTTTGGACTTGAATCATGTAACCTGTTGTAATGTTACATTTTGTCTGACCCTTAACTCTTCCCTCATGACCTCAATGAAAGTGGCCAGCAGGCCAAATTGAGTATTTCATGGATAAACAGGCTCAAACAAACAAACAAAAACCACACGATACCTTGCTGTTGCCGGGAGTATGTTGTGGTCACGTGACCATTCATCTCGATCTCATTGGCCAGTGCCATGGCCTCGTCCATGCGCGGCTGCTTGTCCCGACACCTCATGCCCAGCAGCGTGAACACGAGCACCGCGGTGACCAGCAGCATGGCCCCCAGCACCGCAGCCACCCAGTAATACTCCGACAGCCAGGCCAGGATAGCCGACTCACCGCTGTGGGCTGAGGTGGCCTCACAGCTGCACGGCTTTTCTGGAGACTGGGAACAGATGGACAGTTGGAATGACTTTGTGCATCGAGGCTTGATCTGTCATTGGTGCTGAACGGCCATTTTTTAACAACAACATATTTGTGACAAATCTAAGACAAGATCGAGATACTAATCATGCTTTTAATGAAAGCAGACCATCATGATTTACCCATTACACCTTGTGACATTAATATGGCTAGCAAGTTATCATTTTCCACTTTTTCATTGAGAAAAAACCCCGAAGAAACATACCTGACATAGACAGGTGGTACAGGAGATATGTAAGTCAATAGTCAGGTACTCATTGTACCCCACAGGCTGTATGGTTACTGTGGAGACCTCCGGTGCAGACAGACATTTGGATGGGTCCACCTCTGCTGTTATTGTAAATGTTACCTGGAGTGGACAGGGAGTACAATCAATTCATGAAGTTGACTAAAAATCTGGCCAGAATTTATTTTTACACCTTAACTTTTACAAATGGATTAAAGGAATTCACGACATGATCAACGCAAACAGTGCTTCCAACTCAATAACCCATAGGAAGAACTGGCTTACTGTCTCTCCCAGTAGGACAGGGTGGCACTCGGAGGAGGCGGTACCGTTAGGTTGATGGGGACACTTGGCAGTGATTGACAGGTCCACCCCTTGTGGTACATTCTTGGTGAGAAGGCGAATCCTGGAAGTCAGCTCCTGAGGGCGTTAACAGGAACAAAATGTCATACATGTAGTCGTTGAACCTCAAACAACCTAAAGAGGAAAGTATGCAAGAAATAATTGTAAATGATCATGGAACATTTTTGTAACTTGCCTCATATGCATCGCTAACCAGGTCCAGAAGGTTGGAGGAATCGTTGGCCAGCAGCTTTGCAGTAGAGCCCTCTAGCAGCTGGCTGAGTTCCTGCAGGAGGAAAACAATGTCTTTCTGGTCAGAATGGAATGTGACACATCAAAAAGGTACATTTTAAAAGGCAAGGGTTTAACAGATTAGGATGAAGCTGTTGTAAGGCCACCTGTGTACCAACAATGGCCATACTAGATCTGTCCTTGGTGCTGAACAACCACTTTTTAACAACATCATGTTTGTGACCAATCTGAGGCAAATGGCACAGTTTTGTAGCACAGCAGCCTTCAAAGAGCAAGTGGGTGAAGTTTCTTAATGATTAATTTGATGAGCAATTGTATAAAATGTGCTGCACGACCCATATAGTTTACTGTAACTGACCTCATAGATGTGCAGACTCCTCTGGGTGACAGCAAAAATGCTCATGGTGTTGTGTTCCTCCAGCAGTCCCTTCAGCTGGGCCACTGAGGGGAAATCCTGGAAAAAAAGTTACAAGTGTCAGATTTATAGACAAGACATTTATTACCTCTTCACTTTATACATGATACATCTGTGTGTTCCTTGGAAAATAGTTTAAGGCACGAGTTTGCGAATAAATACAAAATAATTTACATCCCAAACAACCTAAAGGGGAAGTATACAATAGACACATCTTGTCCCCCCCATTCCATGTCCTTGTAAGATTGTAAGAATGATTGTGGTTCAGAGTCAGACCTGGTTAACTGCATCCTTGATGAAGTTTCCGTCTGACCCCACATGACATCGCCCGTCATTCGGTGTGACCAGCCCAGCTAGTTTCCCGTCCCCTGCATAGTGGAACCCTGCATCTGTGGCCACCAGGAGGAGCCTTGTAGCCTGCTTTCTCCACCCTATTGGTCCCTGAGGACAGGCAAAACAATGTTGGGATCAACTGCATATATAATCACTTTATAGTTTACACCCCCATGTTCCAACAACACAATCTATGTTCTGACAACCCTCCCATATCAGAACATAGGTGTATTTGAACATGGGGCTGTCCCTGTGTAATCAGAAGAACCTGTAATTGTTGCCTACAAACCATTATCAGGGCAGACGTAAATCTAATCACAATGGTTTGTAGGCTAGTAATTTTGTAACAAGCACCACAGTCCTGTTACTAAATTGACTGCCAGTGAGTGATTCTTGTGATGTTTGTAAAGAGTGATAGATGTCACTCAAAATGCCCTGTAGTAATGTCCATATTTCTTCCAGTAGTAAGTTTGAATTGTTGTAGTATTGGGATGTCTATCCATCAATATTCATATCTAATGTGTTACCTGGCACACAGTAGCCTGCAGCATCCCATCCAGAACACCCTCGGGAAGGTCAGCATTACTGGAGTTCTTCTGGAACCTGACCACCTCCCCCAGACGGTCAGTCTGGTTGGTCAGTGGCAGGACGTTCTTAAAGATGTACGGCCCGACACAGCCTGCACATGGCTCCTCCAGTCTAGAGAGAGAGAGAGACATAGAATCTATTCAAAAAAGCAATTTAACAATGTATAAACTATAGTCTCATTATAATCTCAAAATTTCATGAGTAGTACATAAATGTTGTGAAATATGTGTGGTGTAAAATGTCCCAGTGGCTAGGCAAGTAAACAGGAGATCATTTTACAACTTACTTGTAAACCATCTGGCCTTTCTTCTTGTCAAAGTAGAATGCAGTGAATGCGAATGGATCCACTGGTTTCTCCACAAATGCCCCCAGTCCAAGGCGGAAGCTTTCCGTCTTCTCAGATAACTTGCGGGCTGTAGGATGACATAAAAAGGTACAATCAAATATCATTTTGATATAAAAGTCTTCTTAGCCTTCTCCCTGCTGCTGAACCCAGTAAGCAATAGACCACTTCAGTGTACTAGGCTACTAGCCCCCTGCCATAATGATTACACAAAGTTATGTGGCACATGGGATATTGGAACAGAGATGAGCACTACCCTATGCACCATCTGGTGCAGGAAGGACTTTGACTTGAGTGTGTCCAATTTGGAGTCCAATTCCTGCAATGATGCATCTCCTAGAAGGACATGATAGAAGCCATGACTCCAACTTACCGAGATGTTTGCCCAGCTTGGTCAGCTCATCTCTGAACTCCTGCATGGACTTGGACATGTCTAACAGGTAGTACAGGTCAATGGGGTAGTCTTCTAGTCTCCTCACCTGGAGGTCAAACGACACTCGACTGCCTGTGGGCAACATGGAGATCAAACTGTGTGAACCTGAACTAATTAACTAAATATTTCTTCACTTTTCATGGTGAACAACGACATTCACTGAATAGACACTTAGATTGTATCTATCATACTGCTTTCATTCGCTGGTTTGTCTGTAATCTCATATGACTGTACAGACTTTGCTATAGGTAATGTAATGTGTTACATGTGGTGCATGACATCATCTATTTGTGCACCAAGAACTAATTCAACCATGATGAAGATTTATTTTGTCTATTCTACAAAATGTGTTCAAAATCTTTTCATCTATTTCACAGCCTATATAAAACAAAGGAAGGTTTCTGCTACTTGTTGAAAAAGAAAATAACTGACCTAGCTACAAACTCTTCTAGTTGATTTTAATTGGTTGAACCCGAACCACTTTGATCAACTTTGAGGGCATACTTATCTACACTTGTCCTTACCTGGTCGAAGGTCAAGTGCGACCCGTTGAGGCTGCATGCGGACAATGTCACCTTGCTGGGCACCAGGTGGGGTCAACGACTGGTCCTGGGAGACAAGGAAAAACAACACAAAACAGAAAACCTAAGTTTATATCTTTCAATGGTATCAAAGGCACTTAGGTATAAGTTAGGCCAAACCCACCTGCCTCAACACTTCGTGGCATAAACAGTGTAAATCGAATCAGATTAATGCAAAATTTGCACATATCAGTGACTTAAGTCCTTTTGTGTGTATACAGGCCTCACCTCTATAAACTGCAGGGTGCTCCTCTCTCCTGGACAGTGGAAACAGTCATCTGACTTCCTGTACAACAGCAAGATGGAAATGTTACTACATTGTATATCATAAAAATTCATACAACAGATAACCAAACAGGATCATTAAGCAGTCATAAAGTCAGTCAAATACATGAAGAACAAGAAAAAGTGACTTACTTGATCCGTACGTTTCTACACATGCAGCCACCTGTAAGATTCACCTGGTGGAGGCAAAGCAACAGACACATACATGTATCACTGTATGCATATTTCTTTGTACAGTACTTAACATCAAAAAAATTGAAAAGCGAAAAGGGGGTGTCAATCAAAAGTGTAACAATGATCAAAGGCACTTACATATATGTGAGCAGTGTTGCTCTGGAGCAGAGGGTAGTCGTCCACTGCTGGTAGAACACCGCTGTCCTCTACAGGCGGGAACTGTGACCTTCGACGGGCACGGAATATAGAGAACTCCAAGATGATGGGAACTCGGGCAGTGATGTCTTCAAACTTATCCTAGAAAATAGACAAATATGGCTTTGGTTATTAAAAGATTTCAGGAAACCCATACCTCGAGCACAACGCCCACTACATACCTAATGAAAGGAGTGGGGTCCATCCCAGTGTGTGTCCATCAAACCTCACAGTCCAATCTTACCTAGCATGTACTTGCTGTACAAACAAACAAACAAACAAACAAATAGACAGACAAACATCTTATGTTCCTGACCTTGACGTATACTGTGATGGTCTTGGACTTGACATGTTTGAGGTAGACCCTGAGAGGTGCCTGTGCCTTGTATGTGGAGGACTGGTTAGGGAAGAACAGTCTCCTCTCCAGGCCCAGCTGGTCCCGGGGACTGTCAGCCTCCACGGTGTAGTCAAGATCTGGGAGGGAGGAGAAGAAATATTTACATAAATTTTAAGATTTTAAAATTATATCTAGTTTTGATTGAAATGATGATGATGCACTGTGTTATCCATGCAGCTTAGTGTGGTGGTTGAAATAATTCTGGCAAGTCTTTCTTCATTTCGTGTTACTGTGTCTTCTTCCCTGTAAGCAGCCTAAGCTGTCAGAGTTTTGTTGAAGATCTTGGATTCCCCATCTGTTTTTGAGGTCTGTCCTCTGGACACCATGTAGATCTGTGCAATGTAAAGTTGTTCCTTTTCCGGCTTTATGGTTTGATTCAAATTTGGGCAAGAAAACAAACCCTGTCAAACTAATAGGTCTTAACACTTACCCACATAGCTGTCTGCTGCTCCTGGTCCTGAGTACAGAAACTCCAGCTTCAACTTCAGGCTGAAACAGAGAAACAGTCTTGAATGGCTTGAAAATCAGGGTTGTAAACCTGCAAATTTACTTAGATATACTCCATTGTTCTTTAACGGATTTACATGTAAGTAAGCTTAACAGAATTTCTCTATAACACACAAAAGTTTAATATTTATTTGACTGTTTACAAAGACAAGAGTATGTTGTATTTCTTGTTGTTGTTGACAATTATGGTGACATTTGTGTCACCTTTTTTCTCTGTACCTTAACTGGTAAAATCCTGTTTGTACATGTCACCTGTCTGTAATACTGTAATCCTGTGCTCTTGTTAATTGGGGTGAGCAGTATTGAGTACCGGAACATCCTGGTGCCTCTTACGCAGGCAGTCCTTATCCAGAATTAAGAGGGTGTGCAGTGGTACTTATGATACCCACTTGCTCTGAAGGGCCACTTCTGGGAGGGTCAGCAAAGGGTTTTGCCAATACCACAATGGAGTGTTAAAGGGCTTTTTATGCATCACTGCTTATAGACTCCCTTTGTCTTGGAACCCCTTTTGAAGACTCATTTAGGTTTAGCTACAGAACAAAATAAGCCACAGTTTTTTAAGGGTGAGGGTTAGAGATACAGCAACAAATTTTCTGCGAGGCTTGCCAGCTGATTTTAAGGCAAGGTAAGTTTTATACTGTATGTAGGGAAAATAAAGAAAATAGTGGTAAATTAGTTGTACACATCAAAAATAACTTTTTTATATTCCATGCTTTGTTGAGGAATTCTAAGAGAACAGCACAATGCAAAATGTTTAATTCTTTAGCCAAGTGGGCAAATTTTTCTGGTTCAAAAATGTATCAAACAATCAATAGCAATGTTGAAAAACATATCATACTTGCATAATATTATAAATTTGTAGTTTTCATAATTTTTTTTACAATGACAGGTACATACACAGGATCAAGACAGGACACAATGCGGTCAACCAATCTGAACATAAGGGTGTGTTTTGCAGCTGTGCTGTTCATAGGATTCCTCTCCGCAGTTGTTTACATCGCTGCTGTCATGAGTCCAAGTACTGTTCACAAAGACGACAGGAGTGACATTGAAACAGCTGACCATGAGACAATCAGGACAATCCCTCCTGGAATTGAGGTCGATTTTTTTGAAGATGACGAAGCTCAAGATGTTGATGATGATGAGGATGACGGGGAGGAAGCTGAAGCTGAAAACGTCGATGAAGATGACCAAAGCAGGGAAGCTGAAGAGCAGCCTGTTTGTAAATACCCTGATCTGCAGATGAGCAATCCTGAAATCAACCACCTGTTTGATAAGTCTCATCTGCACTGTGGGGGGCGACCAATAAACTACCTCACTTACCTGGATAGCAACACTGATGATAGAATTGGTGTTATCAGACTAAACTCCTCTGCTCTACTTCCCGGAGAAAAGCTTATCAGCTGCAGGTACATCAGGATAGACTATCTATCGGATTGGGAGAATAACGCCATAATTGTCCACACAAAAGACTTCAAGGACAACAACGAGACCACCTTGGACTTTCCCTTTGAGCATGAGTTTGCCAGGGTGAGCTGTCAATATGAGACAGAGGTCTTCAGTGGAACTGGGACTGAGATGATGGTGAAACAGCACAACAATATGTTCCAGCAAGTTAAGAAGAAACCTCCACTGGAGATATGGGCCAAGCAGCTGCATAATTCAGGTCGGGCAAAGGAAGCGTTGGGCGGTGGTTTGAATGTGCTCATGGTAGGTGTGGATTCCACCTCTAGAATGAATTTTATGCGCAAACTGCCCAAAACCTTCCAATACTTCACAGAGACACTGCAAGGTTACGTCCTGAAGGGCTATCATGTGATTGGAGATGGCACGACTGCTCAGTTCATCGGCATGTTCACAGGGTTTCTGGAGGATGAGCTGCCAAACACTAAGAGAGGTACTGCTAACGCAACCCTCTGTGATGTCTTTCCATTGATCTGGAGGAAGTATAAGAGGATGGGATACGTGACAATGTTTGGGGAGGACGAAGCTTGGACAGGGACTTTCCAGTACCGAACAACTGGATTCTCATACCCACCTACCGACCACTACATGCGGCCTTTCTGGCTTGCTATAGAACACCTGCCAGGTTATAGGTACTATGGACAGTTCTGCCTTGGTGCAACACCCAAACATCACTACACCTTCCAGTACATGCGACACTTTGTGGATAAATACAACCAATCTCTCAAGTTTGCTACTGCATTTCACTCCCAACTCAGCCATGACAGCGTGAACTTGATACAATCTGCTGATCAGGACATCCTGGATCTCATCAGCTCCTGGAACGACAAGGGTTACCTCAACAACACCGTCCTGATTGTGTTTGCCGACCACGGAGCTCGTTATGGAGAAATCAGGCAGTTCCTGCAGGGTCGGCTCGAAGAAAGGCTGCCATTCTTTGGAATCGCAATCCCCAAGTGGATCAAAGAGAAACATCCAGAAATTGCAGACAACCTGCGCAAAAATCAAGAGCGTCTCACCACAGCGTTCGACTTTCACAAGATGCTTCAGCACATTCTGGACTACCCGGGTGACCAGTCTCGTTTCCAGGGACACGGAATCAGCCTGTTCCAGGAGATCCCACTAAACAGGACGTGTGAGGATGCTCACATCGCTGACCACTGGTGCACGTGCTTGCAGACCATCTCAATGAGCACAAGTAATGACTTTGTCATAGCATCAGCAAAATTCTTGGTCTCGTATATCAACGACTTAACGTTACCTCATCGAAACAACTGCATGGAGCTTGTCCTGAAAAACATCACCCATGCTGAGATAATCAAACCAAACAAAAGGCTTCTGCAGTTTCAAGAAAGCAGCCTTCAGTTCCACGTGGCCAAATTTGGCAACATGCTTCGTCTTCCCTTCGTCGATTTCATGCTCACTGTGGAGACGGAGCCAAATGGAGGGATGTATGAGGCTTCAGTGAGGAAATGGTTTAAACGTGATCACACAGAGGTATTGGCAGATATCAGTCGGATCAACAGGTACGGGGACCACCCCAAGTGCATCCGAGACAAGTTCCCTCGTCTGAGAAAGTACTGCTTCTGCAAGGAATTCCTCCACCCAACGTAGGGAAACTTTTTTCTTCAAAATGTAAAAAACATTCTTGTGAACTAGTTCCGCCAGTTCATTCTGCTGATGCTAATGAAGAGTTTACCTTGATGTCTAACAAAGGATCCGTTTTAGTTGATGTACAAATGAAATTGGGAATTTACCAGGTGTAGTTTTTGCCGCCCAAGTCACATCTGACGTCAGGATCAGGTGTAGGTGGATCCAGTGACAAGGATGCGTTCACTTGATACGGAACCAGGGGACGAGACCTGAAACACCAAACAATATGGCTGAAAACTGTACCTCTGAGAAAGCAAACGTATCAGATACCACACTATTTAGCTATTGATTTGTGTGCATCCATATTTTCTTTCCTTTATGTCATTACTTCAAAGTAGAATTGATGGAGCATTCGGTTGAATAATGATACCAAATAACATGCTCACATAGTTTGACTATAACAAGGGAAATCTGCTTCAATAATAACAGGCCTTGGTTTGTAGTTGGTTAATATCCTTACTGTAGGATGTGCACAGAGTCAGTTCCATAAGATCCCACTATAAGGTCAGGCCATCTGTTGTCATCAACATCCACATCACCCAACAACGACCAACCAAAGCTGGACAGGTTGGGCAGACCAACTTCTTCAGCACTGATTCTCTGCAAGAGATATAGGAACACTGTCAATCATAAACACTGCAGAATGGTTCAAAGCTTGTACATGTACTCAACACATTATTTACAGTTAATGTTAAACTTTGTGTTTTATTGATGCAAATGCCGATTTTATCAGTGTTAAATAAGTTGAGTAAAGAAGTATAATTATGTATTAAACCTCCATTAACATTTCTTTGTCATTATCTTTTTAACACTGAAGTCTGAAATCTGACATTTGCCAAGACAGTACAATTCTTTCCAAACATTGATGGATGTGTCATCATTACATAAAATTATTAATAGTAACTGGGGGTGTTAGCCTGAAAAGAGTCCCACCTGTGCATAGTGATTGTTTAGTCCATTCCTGCTGCCATGGTAAATGTAAACTGCACCGCCTCCCTCATTTGGGGCCCCAACAGCAATGTCTAACAATCAAATATAAGAAGACATCAGTATCATATTTTTCAAAATAAAAGTCTAAGTGGTTGTTCTGATACTGCTAACATTAACCCTAACTCAATGTTGTAATGTAGGGATATCAGAACACAAGGCTTTTCCCATTTAAATCATAAATATTGTATTCAAATTGAGGCTTCTGCTTAGAATCAAGAGACAAGTTGGTAAGTACATAGAAGAGTTACATTAGATCTTTCGCACAGTGTGTACACAAGTACAGTGTAACATTAGTACTTTACCTGTGAAGCCATCCCCATTGAGATCCCCTGCTGATGATAAGGACAGTCCAAACTGTGAGGCAGGTGGTCCAGTCAGCATGGTCATCAGCTGTAGAGGGGACTGTGAGGGGGAGACAGAACATGTAACATTACATGTAGAAGTCAGTGTGATTTGTGTGAGGTCATGAATATAGAAGTCAGCATGGAGAAGCTTAAGTTTTTTTTATTTTTTATTTTTTTATTCCAACATGTAATCACCAGACGTAGTGACGACACACTCATTGACAAGTTTTTTTCAACTTATATTAATGCCGCCACCAACACAGGGGACAAATACATGACAGGACAATACTCATTTACACCTGAGCTAATTGAGGAAAGTTGTGTAAAGTGCCTTTCCCAAGGGCACAAGATCGGTGGCATGTCAGGACTTGAACCCGGGACTCTTAGTTCCGAGTTGCGCACTCTGCCGCTACGCCACACGACCCCACGTGAAGAGTGAAACGTGAAGCTTAAGTTCATCTTTTGTGTGTGCCTTACCTTATCTCTTGTGCTGTACAAATACACAGCACCACCCACTCCCTTGTCCATGTAAACAGGAGCTCCTACAAGAAGATCTGTCACCCTGTTGAAAAGAGAAAGCCATCAACACTCAATACATACATGGTGTGCCTTATCTAATCACAGATACATTTGTACTCTTGTCTTAGTGTTGAAGAAAAACCTTAAACAACTTTCTTGACAATAAACCAATCTACAAGGATAGTGAAACTTCTTGGCAAGCAATGGCAAGTTAATACCTACAAGTAAAAACAATTTGGTCACCGGGGCAGCCTGCAAGCAAACTCTATTTTGGTCACGGCATGGCCACATTTGTTGTTGGTCGTCAGACGATTTTGCAAATCTTCGATCAGACAGGCTGCGCCAAATCCAAAGGCTGACAAGGATCCAGGACAGCCTTTCCATTAACAAGACAGCTGAATTTTGTAAGACACATGCACGTTTGTTCCAAGAACACAGTTTGCGATGCATGGTGCCACGAATGTGACCAGGCCCTTACAGGCAACACTACAGTACAATGTTAATTACCCATCCTTGATGAGGTCCAGTGCCACCATGCTGTAGCCAAACCCTGAGGCCAACTGAGTCCCCTTGAGGGTGTTTGTAGGTTCTAAGGCACCGCTGCTTCCTTCGGTCTCCTGGAAGAACACGACTGCCCCGCGGTGCTGATGCCGGGGTGCACCTGCCGCGATGTACTCCACACCGTCCCCAAAGAACTTACCAGCAGCCAGTGAGAAGCCTGCAAGGGATGCATTCCAGTTGGTTTATCTATTCCACATGTCACCTAGTCAAGGTCATAAAGTTTAGCTCTGGATATACGACTATTCTAGTTACAGATATATAACTGTTCATTGGTCTATTAATAGAATGAGAACAAAGGTTGATAAGAAAGGGAACATACCGATGTAGCTGTCATGTGGCTGTTTCACTGCACCGCCTTCGGGCCAGGGGTCCCATGTTTCTGGGTGGCCCACAGTCTGGTAGCTGCCCGTATATGTGGACAATGTGCCTGATTTGAAAGTCAAATAAATTAATATTATTATCATTATATCATTGAATACTACCGTGCTATGTTATTGTATAGCCTAAAAAGCACTCACAAACGTTTGAAACATACTGAATTTGCAATTTAAAAAATTAAGTTCCTTTAATGAACTGTTCCAAGCGCCATTACCAAAATGTAAACGAATCAAATTGGTCAATTCGTCAACCATGCTAACAAATTTTCTTCGTTTTTCTTAGCGAAAAGCTTTCATACCTGTCCAGTCATAGCCACCAGGCGCTCCTAGTACAAGCTGTGAACCATTCTGAAAAAAAATTGTTGAAAGTTAACACTTTTTAAGTAAATGAATGCTGTTGGGATGGTTTTACAAATTGAATGGCATGCATGCACGGATCCATACCGCACAAAAATTAAATAGCCCTGCACTTCAGATGTACTCCGACAGCTGGTGTCATGTCACGTTACCGCTATTAACAGAGCTACAACATATTCCCCGCACTTGTGTGCCACACTACGTCATATATCAACGTCTCCCCGCCTGCACCTCCTCCTTTTGGACCCTCATTTCAGCACCAAGGACATCGCCCGGTGGCGGACAGGCACGGGCACCTGGCTGCTTGACCTACGGTGCTGAAACGTGGAGTATGGGAAGAAAGACGCTTACTTGTGTGTAGACCGCGGCTAGTCCTGCCTGGCACTTCCCGTAGGTGTAGTCCCCACCCTCGTTAATCTGGTGCCCCAGGGGGTGGCTAACGGTTGTGGGCTGGTCCCCGAGACAAGGCATCCGTCTGCAAACAGTCACACAACGTTATCAACATGTGTATACTAGTAACTGAATTTGATGGCAAAATAGAATAATCAGTGTTCTAATCTAACTTTGAACCGTTAATAACATTTTTCTGTGAAATTCAATGTATAATATTTATTAACGTAGCCCACATTGACGTGTTCAATTGCTTCGATCCCTTATAGAAAAGGCTACCAACTTTAAATATTTCCTGGTCAAATATAGCTTGAAGGAAAAATCGCATAAAAGTGAACATATAGTTTTTAAGAAAAAATGCATTTAGAGACACTCAAACAATTCATATACCGAGAAAAGACATTCAAGAAAGTTCAAAAGTATCAATATACATTTAACCTCCTTGCAGACATCTTACTTTTGTACCGTATCCGTTTCAAGACTGGCGTCCATCTCGTAACAAATCCCGTTGAGAATGGTGTAGCGGCGGAAGTAAGCGTTTTTCCACATCGGGCCACAAACCTACGGACGGACATGGTAAAAGCTGATGAGCTTCTCGGTTGTGTACACCAGTGATAGTGACAGAACAGGCACATAACTTTAGCTGTTATAATAACATGCCCCATTGGCACTCTATTGTGGAAAGATCTTGTAATATATGTTTGTCTTGTGTGTTGCGATCTTTGATATCAGAATTTTGTGATCATTTGTATTTTTTAGCATACAGACACTGAAATACAACTGTATGTAGCCTCTGTTTACATAAGCTCTCGCTCTCGCCCCAAAGGGCGACAACCATCGATCGGGCGGGCCGGCCGCCAGGAGCGCGATTTAGACAGGATACTAGTATTAGTAACTGTTATATGTAACTGTAACGTTATACATGAACATATCAATTCGTCGTAAGGTCTTCTGGACAAGACTTAGTACGTACCACCACTCTGCCCTGGTGGGTCCGGACGGTAGCGCCCAGCCACATGTTGTTCTTGTTGTCCCTGTACTTGATCTCCACCATCCGCTTGGTGCCAGTGCGGGAGCCTATTGTGTGATACAAACAGGAGACAATGATTGAAGCCTAATGTCAGACCATGGCTCCCCGACCTTCTCCAGAAGGTGAACTGGTCGGTGAACTGGCCTACTAGTCTTTAAAATATTCTGCTTGGATGCGATCAGAGAAGATAACAGGAGCAAGAGTAGGATCAATTCCAGACTACTACTCCCGATCCAGCGCCGACCGTATTCGGAGAGTGGTCGTGAGTAAAGTCGTTGGAATGTTCTGAGAGGGGTTCATTGCATGCCCATAGTGCTGCACTACTCATGATTCCCGCTGGGGAATACATAAAAATGACCAAGCCACAGAAAGGATGTCAGCTCCGTAGTTAAAGCAATCAGGCAGTGAAGGCAAAATGTGCATAACCTTGATGTTGAAAGCCCGGCCTTGGGCTATGTGACCTGGGCCATATGACCTATTCCCTACAAATCGGGCGTAACGTAAACTATGGCCCTGCAATTGGCTGTGGACATTTTGAGTCTTCACATCACGGTGGTCTTTCTTTTACTCTTTACGTGTGTCTCTAGATCAAAGGCTGGGGATGTTTTGCATAAAAGACATAAAACGTGGAGTCATCAGCACCTTGTTTACTTTTTGCCTGGGCGTGGGAGGTAATAAAACGAAAATTTGATCAGCTGAAGTCGCTTTCTTCATGCGTAGGTCTTAGAAATTACAGGAAATTGGTCAATTGGATGAACGGGTTGCGAACACCTGAGCACACTTGTTAGCACATGTCGGGAGGATCCTGTTTTGTACTCTCCAAGAAAAGGTTGATTGGAAAGACTGTGGCACGTTTTCTGACAGCTCTCATTTTAGAGATAACCTACTTATTTTTTTTTTTATTCAGCAACGCTGTCAGTCTAAAATCAGCACTTTTCTGTCTTTAAGGCAGTCCGTGGATGTGCGCCTGTGTACATGACATCGTTGTTCAAATGGGAAGCTCCACCAACACTGAGTGTTCGCACTACTCGGTCAGAGTTAAAACGGCTACTGGACTATGACCCCCACCTACTCTCCTGCCCCCCAGCAAGAGTCACTTCATACAGGAACAGCTTACAGTACTATGGACCTTACCTCTGGAACTCACTCCCCCTACAACAACGACAGCAGCCTAGTCTCAGAACTTTTAAACAGTTTTTATCGAATTGTATTTAAGATTAGTTTTATCTATGTGCTATTTTTAGACTTTGTATGTATTGTGAATCTGTCTAACTGTTAGGTGTTTGTCTGTGCTTTTGTACCAGGATTTCCTGAAAAACAGGCCAGAGTGGCCTGAGTGTGATACCTGGTTAAACAAATAAAGTTGAAAGTTAAAGTTGAAAAAGCACTTCAATAGATCTGCCTCCCAAGTAAATACGAAGATGTACAAAGTGGCCAGGTTTACTGGCAGTTACAAACTATAAAGGCAGTTTGTGGCAAAAAAATCTCCCCCGCGATGTCACAGCGAGTAAAGAACACACAAAATTTCGCATTCGTGCGCCTACACAGGCCAGCCCCTGGGCACCAGGTGCAATATGCCCCCAAAGAAAATTTACCAACAGCAACATCCAAGCTAGGTTCTAAGCTGTCTTGTCCGGTCTGATCAAGAGCGGACATTTTGAACTGTCCACTTCAACTCTTAGGTGTAAAGGCTCTCTGTTCCGTTCAGCTGATGACTCCAAATCTGGTGTCCTTCATCTAAGACATCTAAGAAGGGCTTCAGATAGCCCGCCTTCTCAGAAATCAGCTCATTAAAAAAGGACAATAGCGCTTTTATGTCGGGTCAGGAACAAAGTGCTACTGGGCTTACTACTGTCTGTTATTATGGCCCATCTTGGAACAATTTGTTGGTAAATTTGCTGTATCTGTGGTTCAAATTGTGTAGAAGTAATTTCTAAAGCTAAATTGTGAAAAAGCGATTCCATTCAAGGTCATTAAGTTTAGCTCTGGATAAACGACTATGTTAGTTTCTAAGTTACAGATGTATTTAATTAGAAAGTTTGTTTCTGTTTCACCTTCATTTCATCTACATAAGAGCTAGAGTATTTTCTACTATCTCCAAAGGCGCGTGTTGACTACACTTCTTTTATATACCTAATGTAATTGCTTCGTCCTTTAGTATTGTTATCTCCCCCAACAAACACGTCCTCCAACGTTTAAGCTAACGGCCGTTACACCTATTGTACAATATTCTAATAAGATAAAATATAGAATCTTAAAAGGGGCAGCATCGATCAAATTTAAGGACGTTCCGATGCACTGGCAAGTGTCAGAAAGCCTTATTACACTTTACAGGGACTGCTTCCAATGTCAACTCTCAACACCATACCCCCATCAGTGCAGCTGAGTTCTAATCCATTTATCCATCCTTTCCTCCGAAACCCTGTTATTTCCCGACCAAATTACGTTTGCTTCTATTGTAGACTGACCTTCTGTGTCCACCACGACTTGGCTGCAGTTGTGTTCGTCCAGCGGACACTGGTACAGCGCGCCAGGCCGCTCCAGGTCAGGGGCGTGGGTCCAGTTCGCGCGGGGGGCTCCCACCAGCAGGCTGTAGCACACAGAGAGTGAAGAAATATATCAAAGAGCGAACAAACAATAACAAGAAATCGGAGATTTCAGACTTCCGGAAAGCATTTTCGTGACCTTCAAGTTGATCTCATTTCCTGTGTCTGACCTCCTGTCATTCTGCCGGTCAATCTTTCCCAACCCACGTGTCGTCAACCTGTCGTCAATCGTCGTCCGGACAAACAGATACACAAACCAACATCTCAGCAACCCAAAACAACACTTCTGTATATATACAAACTAAACTGAAAACCCAATTGGTCATCCGATCGAATAAGGCCCGACAAGTACACGTATTGCAAAATGGCTTCAGTCATTATACCCACCGTAGTTGTAGTGGAAGTGTGTAAAAAAAGGGAGAAAGTTGGACAAGCTAAGAAAGGGTCTCGAGTGTAAAAGATAACTTAAGAGACCGAATATGTGGTACTGATTGCCTAAACATCACACACGTGCGGCGCACAAACGATCATTCATCTGTAACTAACTCTAGTTCTGTTTAAGGAGGACCAAATGTGTTGAAATCCACGCTGTCTTGAGCACAGCTATTTATAAATCAATTCAGGCAATCGGAATTAAGTGTGTGCAGACCCTGCATTTTCCCTCCTCGCTGTTTATACAAAATATACCAGCTTCGAACTCCGTCTTGGATGCTATAGAAAAATATTTACAACACTTTATTCCAGAAAACAGCGCCGTGTCCACAAAACCGGAGGCGGAACCAAGTGACCCAGAAGATAAAGCACTTCGCTGCAGCCCTTTTCAATTACAGTGCGTGTCGCCGTCCCAGTTGATTTAGGTCCAACTGTCCGTGTGGCGAAGCCTGTAATAATGTGGGGTGAGTGATGTGGCCAGACACGGGAAGCTGACAGGTCTGCGCAGATAACAATTCCGTCGGTTGTCAATGGCGCCGTAATGAAGGGGTGGAGGGGATCGTTGTGCCACAAGTCAGTTTATGCCATAGGCAGAGGTATTGCTTGCAAGTTAGCCAGTTATAAGATAACTACAGTTGTATTTGCACCAAACTGGCATTAGTTTCTCCTGAAATTGACTATGGACTGAAACTTTCTTCTTAATCCAGTCTACCAACCTTTAAAGAGAGCTTAGCACAACACTACAACACGTTACCGTTTGATTACGCTCTCTTTCAGAAACTACTAAGTATAACACATGATCATATAACGAAAAACTATGAAAGACAATATGAAACGACGGCTCCTTTTTATTGCAGAGTGATGCAAACAAATTTCATCCTTAGAAGGATGCAGAAAACCAGGACGGTCCCTAATTACTGCACATCTCAAGGCGGTGGATTATGTTCAGGGAGAAGGGAGACCAGGGACAGTGCTGTTGGGATTACAGGACAACGCAGGTGGGCGGGGGCACAGTACAGAGGTGTCATCACAATTTGTCCAATTAAGAGGCGAGAACTCAACAGAAGCTTCTTCTCAACAGCCTCCAACTGTAATCGCTAGAATTGCAGAGCTAAGCAGTTTCTCGTCATAGAGAAATTGCTCGGAACAGCACTTATGAGAGTAAGCGAGAACATTCTTGTCTGCTGGTTGAGAAAATAATGAAGACAAAGAAAAGACAATTCTTAAAACTGAGGTTCATCGGAAGAACAGTTTGTGGTGCTACTTCGTCCCTGAGCATTTTCGGTTGTCGCTAAATAAGCTGCGCAAAAATTATCTAATTGCTCGAGACATGGATATCATTTATTTCGCTGAAAATTGATCTTTGTTTAAAGCTCTTTTTATTTTTTATACGTTGAATTGAGAGGGGGTAACTGCCATTAAATTGAAATGAAGGAGAGAAAAGAATGAATGAATGAATGAATGAATGAATGAATGAAAGAAAATAAGATAAAAATATTAGGCAAGTCTTTCTTTGCGTTCTTCTCTATCAACCACTGACTTGTGTATGCCGCCTTTCAGCACGCATGCCAGTGAGGGCTGAAAGGTAACTAAGTTATCGGAGAGGACTTCACTCTTCAGCGGTGGATTCATCACCATGGCCAGTAGTCAGACTCAGTACATCTACAGTAAACTATTGTAGACCTGGTTTTCCAAGCTGACTCTTCATAATAGCGCCTTCTCTGCCGATTTTTTGCACATGAACGGAAGATAGTGTTTTGCAGGTTGTGTCTGTTCGAAACCCAAACACCAAAGACTGTGGTGTTGACCGAGAGGTCAGTCTTGCCGGAGGTAGCTGTCAGAATCTTTCAGAGATTTTAACGTGCGCACTTTCAGTTGGGACACGTGCCCACCGCGCACGGCAGAATGTCTGAATGACCACGGGACCAGGGAATCTTGTATTCATACTTAGAATCTGTATTACCCTACCTTACTTTTACAAAATGGCCCTCCCTCTGGTTCGCTTTAATTTATTGAAGCGGTAACTGATACGGTGTAGTTACGTTGTAATTGGCTTTTTTGTGGTAAAGCTTCTTCACAGGGTTAAGCTGAGGACGACCCAAGCGGCACAAGTTCATCTGATTGGGCTGAAGTAAAACCTCTCTGTTTTGGCGCTACTATCAAGAAAATACGAGAAAATGGCTTCCTCGTTACGCGAATTGCTGTCACATAAATGCTGTGCTCGACAGCTACCCTTAATAGCCCACACAACAAGAGATAAGCATGATTTCCTTACTTAAACAAGCAAACGCATTTTGTCACCGGACACCAAATTCCCGGTAAATTATAGACCCTGCAAAATGTTATGAATAACTAATTTCTGCCCGCTTTGTATTGCAAAAGAGTGATTGTCAGTCAGACAATACAACATTTACAAAACACAACCTTCCTTCCTTTTGTCTCTTCCCGCCGCAGTCTGCAATTTTTCTATTTGATTCATATCTTCCATCCTGCGATCCAGCTTTCAAAAAGATATCGATCAAGCAATTCGAGTTTTTCCATGGCTCAGACTTTTTGCGACTTCTTTTCTTCTTGCATGTTGAATCGCATTTTCAGTAAGTTATTCGCTGTTCCTTTGGAATTGATGTATATTATTACACAACATAGCAGCTAGAAAGACCACATGTTGATCGTACTTGGGCATTCTTGCGTAAGGTTTTGATGATTATAGCCTGTCACCACCCTACATCGGTATGCCCCCTCTGTTGACATGTTTGTGTGTGGCGATTTAGCCCGTCTTGTTGTCTCCACATCCCTTATCTCTCCTCACAGACGAGCTTTCGACACATCTGGATCGTTTTACGACATTTTCTCACGTTCACACATGGGAGGAAACCTTTGAACTTGACCTGGATGTTCCAAAACGTGGCTGTCAGGCGATTCTTAAGTTTCGCGCCGCGGAGAAGTTGGGATGTATGTTCACATCCCTGTCTGTCCGGGGGACGTTTGTCACTGGTCAGGTGTGACGGTGTCAGAGCCGGGTCTGGCTTCTCTTGGGAAGGAAGGTCGTTCGGCAGAGCCTGCGGGCATACATGCACAGGGCCTTAACAATAGGGGGCACTGCTTTAACATGCATAACATCGCCCTAAAGGTTACTTATGCAGCGGCAGTGTCAACAGAAGTTTAATCGACTTCCTGAACAAAAGACTTTTATACGTGTCCTATGACCCCTGCCCCCGGGCTGGGCCTACAGATGCCTTCTGATTCAGGAGGACAAAAGATGTTAGAAGCCGCCTTTCCAACGGTCATGACTGCGTCTACAGGACGTCGTCTGGTCAACTCTCGTTTGTACGTCCACGCTGCTTCATTGCAGTAAAGGAGCTGAAGTATCAGGCCTCAGCTTCATTGAATTTTGTCGGTCCTGTGATGATAACATTTTTTGTATTCTCTGTAATGACACAACGCTTTATCGACAATCGCCTCTTCTTTTGAGCCTGTGTGAGGGGGGGGGGGTCTGGAGGCTGGGTTACATGTAACGTTACACTTCATGTGGTTTATTGTAGAAGACATTGCGTTGTTCTGGTCTAGAGTGGGCTTTAGACGAACGGCAAATCCAATTGCACATAGTCTTTCGTCTCCACTACGACCTCCTTGAGACAACGAACGGAAAAGTTATGCAAAACGATGCTGTAGGCATACGATAAAGAGGGGCATGTCAGTGTGTTTGTACAACATTAAGTCGATTCTCTTCACTGGTCAGCCGTATGAACCAGTCACTACAAACCTTGTCAAGGACCTTGGGGGTCACAACTACTTTGCAACCCGTCATTTCACTGGTGGCTTCCACTATGGCACAGCGTTAGCCGTTATGTCTGAATGTCAGTCCCCCTTTCACCAGACGGTGTCGCCGAGCGCCTGAGCGACCATAATCGGATTTGTGTGATCCTTGATTTTACAACTGGAATATGACGCACCAGTAAAGGTAAAAGTATGATTTAAAAGACAAAAAAAAACATAGAACTTTTAAAAATCGGTTTTTATCGATGAAATTCGTTGAGGCAAAATCAGACCCTCTGGTGGAAAGGGTGTGTAACCAGTTTCTTTTGAAAGCCAGGGTGAGGAGGATCACGGGCTTTCTACAAATTACAGCCAGCACCATCGGTCTCCTTACCGGCTGCCTTGAGGGAAGTGTACATGTAATTGTGTCGGTTGTTCATCCATGGATCCAGACCATTTATACAAACAAATCTTTCCTAGCTGCTCTACAAGCCTTTCTCCTCGGTAAATCACATAAGTCCCCTGATGTTTGTCATGCCTAGCTGTCATAATAATGCTCTCCGTGATCACTTAAACCCTGTTCTGTCCGACTTAATCTTGAAGAATAATAAAATGTCCGAAAGAGGTGACTTATGTGAAAGGAACGTGGGCGGGTCGCCAAACATAATAATTGGCGAAGACTCGAAGAAGAAGGCTTGGCATTCCCCCGGCTGGCTTCTTAATTCGATAAGGCACTATCGTGTCAAGGCGTGTTTGTTGGCGTTTAAAGGAATTTACATCCAGTTCGCGGCCTTTCCCTCGTGTTGGGGCAGGGTACATGCATCTGAACTTGTCTGTTGGGAAATTAGGCGAGAGTCCCAAAACTTCTAGTCATGGCGGTTTTGTGGCAAGGTTTTTTTAATAACGAAATCTTTCCTAGAATTGTATACCAGAGCTAGAGGCGTAGTATCTATGCAAGATGAATCCTACCATTATCATAATTATAGTATTCTCCAAGCAGAGGTTTAGGTCAGAGGGTAGGCAGTACCCACGATTTCTTTCCAAGGCCTCCCTCTCTCATTTGCTCTGTTTGCAGAATATCATTCTGGTCAAGATGCCCCGTTCAAAGAAGTCATTTTTTGTCAACTCAGCGCAAACATTCTGGCTGGTTCGCCATGATGGTCTCTGAATACGGAAGACACTGTCTGACACTTCGGCATTCTTCTATTCTTTGTCTGCAGTTGCACGGCCGTGAACGCGGTGTTGTGAAAACATCGCCGTGCTAAAGATTGGTGAAGAACTGTGTAGGAAATACGACGGAACACTGCTTCGGCTCTACAAGTGTAGCCTCGCCACGACCCTGACCTAGATCGAAGAGATAACGACTGATCGAGAACACAACTTACTAATTTGGATGACTGTTGGTAATTACTGCCGGTACGAGCCGTTATGAAGTTGATTGGCTGTTGCAAAAAGTCTGCATTCTTCAAAATGAGCATAAGTGGCTAACACTGTTGTAACGCTGAACTAATATTCTTGTTCCATTCTTGTAGCTGTTGTTCCAGTTAACGTTTCTGTCGTCGCTTTCTAATGAACAACAGCTCATCCTTGACTCTTGTGTGTTGTTTTGATGCAGAATGTCGCCTCCATGGTTACGTTCGAGGCCACCATCGTGTAGTTACAATTCTCTGGAGTCCCTTCTGCACCTGATGACAGCGTAAACCACTTCACACCCACCCACACATACAGCCACACCTCTGGCGACTTCAAATGCCCCGACAGGTAGAATCTGAAGAAGTTCAGGGACCACAAGAATCCCCCTCCCCGCGGCTTCCTCTCTCCACCTGTCTCCGCCGGGGGCCTGCAGCGATCTGTCGATAATGTTGATCAAAGTTTGTTTTGACAGTAAATCCCGCAAATCTGTGTGTGTGACGACCCGCCCCCGGCAGGCAGGGGTCGCGCCCTAACCATTGACAAATGTTGGCCCCGAGCTGTTACAATGTGGCCTGGTATTAGTAGTAACTATCACACTACAGTGCGGAGTTTCCTAACCATTCATCTGCCACGCCAGCGACATAATTCAATCAAAACGCTATCAAAAATTGATCTCTCTGGAGTCTGGATGGACAAAGACGCAGTAATCCTCGAGTCGACTATTAACGGTAGGAACTAGACCTTTTGTCAGCTGACAGGTACACGTTTTGAGCTCCCGTGTTACGACGGGCTGACTGCTCCAAAAGTGGGCTCGTCTGTCTCGTAAGTGTTTCATCCTTGACAGAAACACAAAGAACAAGGTGGATATGACTGATTTACACCCGACCGAGAAAGGGTCTGCTTTTTGTACGGCCGAAACGATTGTGAAGGTTCTTCGCAACCCCCTGTCTGGTCACGCCGCCGCGCCGATTCAATCATTTCACACAATACGAAATACCATGCATGCAAATGACAGGGAAATAGCTCTTTGCATAATATTACAGGAAAACCAAAAGAAGTATTTCTTTTCATATTTCGTTTAAGGTAACCTCTTATCCTGTCATCTAGCAGGCACGACACATAACGTTTCCTCGTTAAATTACTCTCGTGGCAAATAGTGATCAAGGAGGGGGCAGATTGCAAAGCAGGTGTGCAATGAGGGTTCTTTTTGTCTAAAATGTACTTCACGATACGAGGAATTTCGTTGTTTTAGTCTATCCGACACATGTGCACGAGTAAAGCAGACGGTGGATTAAGGTTGAGAAGTCTAAAGCCTGGCATGCCTGGGAGCAAGAGAGATGATATCTGATAGAAATTTCTATAGTTTCTGAAACAGTGCTGTCCCCGTGAGTTAAGTTAGGAAGCGTCCCACTGAGTCAACAATATTCCCAGCACGATTAAAGTTTATCTAGAAGACTATAAATGTGTCAGACGACAAGAGTTGTGTCAAACAAATCACGCAGATGTGGCAGATACGTGGAGATACAGACAGGCTCACAGGTCAGGAATACTACAGCTGACACGTAGCCGGGGTAATAACATTACCCACGCCATGAATCAATATAACGTTACCTCAGCGGTGTATGGAAACTACTCAGGTATGACCATTAATGTAGTACGCATCAATAATTGCAACCAACCAGCAAATTATGATGCACTCAGCATGACGGACACCTAAAGGAAGTGTTGGGGTGGGTGTTAGGCGTCCTGAGGGGAGAGTAAATGCATGTAGTGATGGACATTATTCTGTCCGGTTTGTGGAAGGCGGTGCACAGAATCTACCCCCCTGCTGGGGCGGACAATAGGAATCCTCCCTGTTAACGCCAAGACTAAAGCGCGCTGATCGCTTCAATTATAACCCCATCATGAAACAATACCACCGCAGTCCATCAAACCGCTGCCAGGCACACCCGTCCAGATTTTCTTATCTCCCGTCAGCAGACGTTCTGTCCGCGGTGATTGGTTTCCTGTGATGAACGTGCGTCTCGGGCCAGCCCCGGGCACACAGGCACCGCGCTGCACCGGCTCTTTCCTCTTACACGGGCCTGCGCGCGGTGCGATAGCGAACTTCTTCCTCTTTCGACTCTTCCAACAGGAAGTCGGAAGAAGCTTAGCAAATCTGCTTTCGTGAGGCTGATGGTCAGCGAGTATTGGAGACACGAAAGCTTTGAAATAAAGGCCCGGTTTATATATCACTGAGAAGAAGAAAGAGAAGGAGGGAATCACATACACTTGATATTTGTACAGGCCGATTCATCTATTTGAACAATTACTTTATCCGTTTAGCAGCGCATTACTTGACGACCAGAAACCACCAATATGTAAATTACTGGGCGCGATGGAAAAACAACAACATCGCCGCCGCCGGAGCCCAGGCCTGAATATACGCGGTTCATAACAGATGTTCACGCCTGCAAGTTGTCATTACAATTAATTCAATCGCTTCTCCCAATGTATTTGTTTTGAAAAGTCCATCTGTTTTTACAAATGTTCTATTCATACGGTACAAATGCACACGCTGTACATAGCTGTGGCAATGACAAGGCTTCTAAATTCTCTATATCTAGGTCGATATGTTTGTTCAAGAATAAAATGTATTTCACATTTTTAAAATTTCGAATTCTTTTGAGAATCACGCATTAGAAATGTAAACACATTCTCTTTGCCAAACTTACGTCGAATTACTTTTCTATATATATATATGTAGATAAAGGTTTTTCAATTATCTGAAAGGACATGAAAAATGGGGGAGGTACTCTTCACACAGTTCGTGAAAGGAACTTCCATTTGTCTTGTGGAAAAAAGGACAGAAAAAAACAGCGACCACCCTGTCACTGGGGCAGCCGTTTGTGTTTTCACTACAATTCAATGGGATGGGGAAACGGACCGTCCAATAACGGGCGATTCAAATTCAATAAACGCACTGCGAATAGCTAATAGAGCGGGAACGCAGCGGCCAAGAAAGGGCGCATTCAAGCGGGCTACAATACCGGCAATTTGTTCGGGTAGCCCGCGTGTAGGCCCCGGGGGAAGATACTATCAGCCAGACCGTCGTCTTTCGTGGCGTTCTGTTTGGAAAACACACTTCTCCTGGCTTATAGAAGACAAAAAACTCAATCAGCAACAGAATCGCCATGGAGTCGGACAGGCACTGTCCAAACAAGTCGAGCTTTTTTTCACTTTGCATAACAATTTTCAGGACAAGAATAGCGCGGTGACTACGTACGCGCTTTGCAAAACAATCTCGCAACTTTTTGTGCGTCAAAACTGTTGTTGAATACAAGCACCGCTAACAATGTTTCTCCGTCAATACGGGGGCCTATTTTGTTCTCGGCCAGGGGTGGCAGACACTGGTTTGACATACAGAGCTGAAGTTTGACGTGACAGACATGACGGCGTCCCCTGGGTCCTGGGAGAACCAACACACGCCTTTCTACTGTTGTCCTCTATGTCAACGCTCTTGTACGCTAGTTTATGCATACCTTCGCAGGAGGCTCAAAGGGAGCCAGAAAAATCACACTAAAGCAGTTGTAGAGGTATGACAGCCATTAGAGACAATGGTACCCTCTAATCACGACTCATTTGTGGCAATTACCCCAGATTTGCGTCCCAAGGTTCTGCGCAAGGAGATAAAATAAAGATCCCTCTACTCACACTTTCCGTCCCTCGGGTGTTCTGTGCATCGCCACCGAGAAACCGAAGAAACTTCCTTCGGGCCCACTGCGCACGGCAGCCCGGTCTGTATCGAGGTTGAACCCGCTGACGACCAACGGCAGACTCCAGAAAAGCAGACACACCACGCTTGGAAATCCAAACAGTAGATGAGACATGTTCTAGGCGGTAAGAAGGCATGGGTTGACCCCGTTTGACAGAAAAAACAGCGTCGCCACCGGCCGTTACCACAGGCCCTACCTCCACTCCGTCCCGGGACGGTCTGTAATACATGCAGAGGCAGCACTGGGTCTACTTCCGGCTTCCTTTGGCAGGCGTGACGCCAACTTCCGGTCAGAAGAAAGCCCCTTGCTGGCATGATTAGTGATTTGTCGTTTCTTTTCTTAATAATACCCTAGATTGTGAACTTAGGAAAGAAAGACGCTACAGAAGTAGACAATTATGAATCTGATAAGCAATTTATCTCTAAGCCATTAAGTTGTAGAAATAGTCATCCAAGTAGGCCACGTCCAGTAATGGTGGTATCAAATAAAAGTAACCTTACTTCCCTGTGTCTAGTTTTGCTTGTGTTACACCATGGAGTCTTGATTCTAACTCTATGCTTACACAAATACTAGTATGTTAGTATAAATAGGAAGCATCGATTTCAAGATCGAGAACAGAGAACAGAAAAGCCTGGCCAGTGTACTGTGTTGAGGGCGTTTAAGATTTTCATGACTCGGATAAGCAAGGGAACTTACAAGTGCTTCTTGTCAACTTCATCATCCCTGGACCATCAACATTCCAACCAACCTTTTAGCTTCATGTACACGGAGGGTCAGGGCACGTGGTGCTGTCCCAACACTTAGTACACACAGGTTTCATAAACATCTAAACCTGGCGCGGAAAAAACAAAGCTTCTAGATGAATCATCTTTGTTACGGTGTGTATAATGAAACGCGGTGACACGGTAACATAAAGGGAAGAATGTTTTGGAAACAAAACTGTTCTGTAGACAAGTTTATGAGCTGCGCTAGACTGAGCCCTCCCAGCACGGTCGCTATTTCCCGTTCAGGCAGAGTTTTTCACGTGAACTACTTTGACCTCTGTTCAGTTCACGCTGCTGGTGATGACACTGGGCCACGCAAACCCTTGTCTTTTTCACGGAAAAGCACACAGATTCGTCAATAGCCTATAGCACAGGACGTCTACATTTTATCAGTACAGTCTTCTCACACATTGTTTTGTACGTAGGTTAATTTCGGTGTACCCATGTATTTGTCTGTATGTCTACATGCAATTTTAGACCTTACGAAAGTCGCTGTACGTTTGCTGTGTCCATTAAGTTCTACATCAACCACTAGTAGACCGTAAAACCTATAAATGATGTATGTGTCGGGGTTGACAAGGAAAAGGTGTCTCAATCTGAAGGGTATTTGTGAGACTGACATCAAGTTACCTCAGAGTTAATTTGCCTTCACCCCCAACATGGATGTCTTATCCCCACACTCAGTCTATAATGTAGGGTTAGTGTCTGTCTTTTCTGGCCCCCTCTTCAACACTCAGAATTTTTTGACAGTGGCCCAACGATCATATCTAACGCCGGATGTGAGCGTTATGCGTTTTCCATTCGAAGTTACGTACCCTTTCTCAGATGCTGTTGTATGTCATTGTCAAGGTACAATGACCATACACAGAAAACACGCGGAAAACCTCAGACGTATAGCTCGCCATAGAAGGGTTTGTTCGTCAAGTGTAAGGTCACGTCGTCTGGGGGAGGACAATTCCCCCAGCTTAGTCACAAGCTCCGTACGAGCCCCTGAGTCATGTCGTTTGGCAGTTCTACAAGTCTAAAGTTCGAGAAGCGAAGGAGGAACTTCTCACTCATGAACTTAGAACATATGACTGAAGTCCCACAGGGTTCGGCTGAGTGTTACGGTGTGCGTGTTGCAATCTCCAGCGATAACCGAATCAATCATAACAATGGTAAATTATGCTTTAGCCTGTGGTTTGTTTTGGATGGTGGTTTATATTCACGTAAGCAGGTTAGCTATGCAAATATCTTATCTTCCAAGGAGGTTATTTTAAAACATAGTGAAAGTCAAACACACACAAGGTAACGAAAGTTGGCACATTTTAGAGCTAGCTTGTTTTTGACATACAAGCACCAAGCAGCTATAGGCAGATTTAGTTCAATGTACACTCAAGGCGTCTCTTTTCTGGGCACAGCAGATAACACAAGTACACTGTACAGTACTGTGACTGTGAACGGTTGTCATATTTGACTGTCTGCAGGGAGAATTCTACAACCTGCCCACATTACTGTTTATTTCCATCCATGATGATAATGTGGTGAAACAGGTGGGGAAAGAAGCGCGCGGCGTCACGCCATGGACGAGACACGCGCCGTCAGAGAGGCTCCTCCGGGTTGGGGCTGACAGCTCGCCCCCGCCGCGGGCCTCTCTCACGCCCACCGGACTGACATTGACCCCCGGAGGTTCAGGGTTTACAGACGAAGAGGGAAATTCTGCGCACTTAGATTGAAAAACTGTCAATTCTTGTTAATGCATGACTGCCTTAAGCCTGTAATACGGGTTCTAATACAAGGTAAACATGACTTATGTTTCAAGAGGTGATACCCAAGAACAAATTGTGGCGAAGATTACTAGCTAGTAACTCGTACTTTCCCAGCCTGCAGTAATAGACTAGACTCCTAGCGAGTGCAGTATGTTCTGCAGAGCTGGGTTTTGCTGACAGCACAACACGATCGCGACATCCGTTAATGCTGGAGAAAGTGGGAAATGTTGTAGCTTTCCCAGTCGCCGGAAAAAATTCCAAGAAACATAAGATTATGGAGTTTGAAGCAAAGACCTGTAGATCATTCATTCGTGGAGAGTTTTATGGATGACAAGTATTATGGACTTTCGTGAATTCACTGGAACAACGACGGTGATTGATGCACTTAATATTGGGACTAGGACAAAAACTGTGCGGGGTTGGATTTGGTGGGTCGCTCACGCAATTCTCGCATTGTGTGTGTGAACGTGAAGACCGTTAGTCCACCTGTTGATGATTGTTGCACTTTTATGACTTTTCGCAAGAGGACGTCTCTGTCGTAATTGGAAAGGAACCATGATGCCATTATTATACCTCCTCTTCCTAATCTGGTCGTGCGATCGGAGCTATCATTGGTTTTTGACACCAGGTCAGGAAAATCACAGAAAATTTACAGAAAAAGCAAGAGCTTAACAGCATTGAAACCACTAAATGCACGTTAGATTAAAACAAGGTCTCTTGCGAATATCTCTTCAACCATGGTTGTACGTGTTGCAGTTTGTACCACATGTGGTCAAGAGTTTTTCAAGAATCCTCACTTTTGAAAGTCGTACAATGAACCAATCAGTCATTGACGCAAGTCAGGAAGCAAGGAGAGAAGAAGCCATCTTATACAGCAAGTTGAGAGATGGTCCAATGGCCAACACGACGTCAGCGCAAAGAAGGGTGTGAAGACTTTTATTTAGGTGGCAGGAAGAGACATTTAGAAAGGAAACTGCCTACGCAACACTTGACTAAACACGTGCTTCCTTCTGATGTTGTTAGAGATGTAGGCCATACGGATACACAAAAGTGTAACTGGGCCTAAGTGTAACCTGTAATGCATAGCAAAATGATGAGCACCGGTACTTTAGGCTGGAGAGATAATGATGTCTACTAATAAATAGATAGCGGCTAGCGGATGCTGGGGCGCGCGTGGACTAACAAGGCCGGACACTCCTGACTAGAGTACGGGTACTCATCTTCAACATGCTATAAACTTAAAGGTAAAGGACAGTGTTTTCAAGTAGTAATGCAATGCCGCTTCGCTTTGGACACAGGGGGAGAGAGGGGGGGAGGGAGGATAGGGAGAGAGAGAGAGAGAGAGAGAGAGAGAGACCACTACACCACCGGCAAACCCCCAACAAACACAAGCATACACAACAAAGCAACCTAAGCACACAGGGACAATTGAGCCGCTGGCCTATAGAGCGGGTCTCCAAAAGCAAACACTGTATCAAGTGTTCAAACACAATTGTTACGTTGGGTTCTCTCTTTACCTCTGCCTTTGAGGCGTCGGTACTGGGTACGCGTACATGTACCGCACTAACAACAACATCTCTGAGGGAAGGCAGAAGAGACGACGGACAGTTTCTACTACTACAAAGGTACTGCGCAAGTCGACCTTTACCTTTTCCGACTCCTTTAATGCAAGGCTAGCTATATCCTTAAGGAGTTAGAAAGCACGTCACAGCAGGTTGAGAGCGTACATGTGAGTGGTGCAGTATGATGAGGATTCAAAGGTCGGGACAGAAATGGTACACCCTCAACTGTACTTATGGCAGTTCTCGTCTCCGAATTTGTGTATCCAAGGACATCGGTTTATCCCATTTTTAATGTATCTTCAAACGTCGAAACAGTTGGACACAACGTCACGTCCAGGTAGAAAAAAAAACGCAAACAAACTTGGATGCTTTCTGTTAGTTGGTTTACTTAAGCATTATCGTCGCATTACGATAATCCAAGCTGGTTTTGCATCCAACTGAACCAACTGCCACATGATTTACACATGCATACGTCACTGTAGATGTTTATAAATCCACAGAAACAGTGACTGGCAGTCTAACGTGCAGTACTCGCAGTGCAAGGGTAGCCTTTTCATATGGTCAGCCTTATCTTATGTGAATGTTAGCATAACGCTATGTCAGAGGGTACGGAGTCTATAACGCTATGTATCTATGGCATACTTCCCACATTAGAAGCGTGTTTCTCATGGCCACTGTCTGAGCTAGGAAGCACAAAAGAAGCTATGAAGTAACGTTTAACATCAGAAAAAAAATTCAAGGCCGGCTTTCAATAAATCGAATTCCAGTTGAGAGAGGTCGTGGGCCGAAGGACGCCAATATGAACCAAGGAGCTTCGTGTATGGCGAGGTCTTATATTAACTTGGGAGAATCTCTCCAGATCTCAAAGGAAACCTCGAGAATAAAACGATCATTGGCAATCATCATCATCTTCACCCTCTTCACGAAATGTCACTGAAAGAGCAGGCAGAAGATGGTACTAGAAGGTAGGGTAGTTTCGCCCCCCTCCCCCTCGTTGCTGAGAGCCAGAGGCATCCTGACCTTACAGTAGTGCGTGTGGGAAAACGATAACTAATGTCAACAGGCGTTAAGAACAGCGTACTTTTGCACGTATTGTTGCATTCGCTTCAATGGAAAAGTGGGAGGGGTGACTTTTCAGGCCGTCCCGGCCGTATTCTACCGCTTTTCCCAAAAGTAGGCAATAGCTTCAATATGACTGCCAGTCTCTCATTAGTGTTAGTATTCAATCTGGGGCAGAGGGTCGAATATCCGACACACCTTCTATGGTATCAGTGCTTGTGTAAGCACCGACCACATTGTTATGATATCGCCTACTCGTTTGTATTCTTTGCAGCAAATACAGAAACTGTTTTTCTAAATTCTAACCATAGTTACCAGATACTGCATTCTTGTACCGCTATGCTATTCATTTATCAGTCTATTTATATACATGTAATAACCCATCTATCAGCCTATTCAGATATCTACATATCCATCTATTAGTCTATTAGTTCACGCTTTGTGAAGTTCTAGTCAGAATAGTATACAGCCTAATTAGAACGACACAAAGCCCATCAGTCTCCAATTCGTAAGCTTGAACGCTGTTGTTATATGCCAGTTCACAATCGACGGTGATATAAGGCGGAGGTAACGTTGCATATAGAGACTGGAGTTAACTTACTGTACTGGCGGTTTGGACAGAGTATAGCATTTTTTTTCAGTCAAAATTTTTCATCTTTTGAAATAATGATAAGGAACAATACTTGGGCCTGTTGGAAACTGAAATAGAAGTAATATACAGCTACCGATCTCTCTTAAAAGCGTACTAGTATATGCATAGTACATTAAAATTTTATATACATACGAAACACGCCAGAAAGTTTGTGTTATGTAGTGTTATGTAGTATTACTTGCAGTATGTTTATCCATGATTGGCGTCGACAGGAATTTTTCTAGAAGCCTTTATTTTTGCTTGTATTAGGAAGGATATTTTGCGAACTACACTTTAGCCTCAGTGGCTTATTCTGCTATTTACTATTTTGTGTACACAATAGCATTGTATAAACAAAATCAATCTTTACATTACTGGTCACGTAATGTACTGAGTGTGTAGATGTACTGATAGTTTTATGGGTTTTTTTTTATCACAGGCAAAATGCATCGGTTTCTATCTGTACCAGAGCTCAATCACCGGCAGGAGTGGAGACAAGATGGCCGCAAGGTAGGACAAGACACATTATATTATGTCAAAGGATTCTAAGAATAGATACCACATAGTTAAAGAAACGTTGATTTCATAATGATGTTACACTCTAATCTGTTCAGACGCTTCTCTGTGTTATATTTTGTATCTAGGCGATTGTGGACAATATGGGAATTTAATTTGAACTTTTTTGTACCCCACAGTTTTTAGATCACTCTGATCTCCGGGGAACGAACCAACCAAAGATGTCCACGTCACAGAATGGTGTGGAACAGGTTCTTGACAAGACGTCACGTGACGAAGATGGGGCCTTACTACTGGCTGATATAGAAAGGGTGGCGGATGAAATCAGCATACTTGAAAAAAATATGGACAACATCACTAGCAGGTAAAACTTGCCTCGTGACAGCTATAAAACAATAACAATATTCATTAACAACAGAACTTTTACTATAATTCCAGCAGTACAGCTGGCTGTTATACATAAACATGGCTAGACAGCCGTCGCAAAAGTAGAACCAATGATAAATCATGATTGTCAAGAAAACTACCATGATCAATTATTGAAAACCAAATGCAAATCCTCTTATGATATGTAGGGTATTGTATTTATCGTACTGATGACTTATTCTTTATACCCGTATCTATATCTATATCTATATATTTATATCTATATTATCTATAACTTTATCTATAGCTTTCAGCTGCTTTATAGTTGAAACAATGTATAGTTTTTAAACCTAGTTATACGTTGAAGGTACCCGGATTTGTTTGTTTGTTTTTTCTGCTTTACATGGCATTCTACTCTCTTGATGGAGACTATCTGATAACTTTGCAGATCCCGTACCGCTGCGGGGCTGTTCTGGCCGATGTTGTCACTGAACATCCACCAGCTGAGCGAACAACTGTCCTCCGTGCACAGCGCGCTGAACAGGCTCGGCAGAGACAAGGCAGTCGCCGGGATCCTCCGCCAACAACTGCGCGATACGGAGACGAAGCTAGAGAGTTTAACCCTAGGCGCGCAGAAGGTGGGCGATATTGATACGGTGGACTCGCGGCAGGTCTTACTGCATAGCAAGTGTGGAGAGGGTTCTAGACCAGCGGGGTCCACAGAGATACTTCAGAATGACGCAGTAGAAGAGTGGCTGAAAAGGGCAGAACAGGGATCTACCTCTTCCCATGACCTCCACGGGGCGGTGGAAGATCACCTCCGTAAAGAAAATGAGCGAAGCAAACTCCTGGAGGAGGAGCTCACCGTGATGAAAGAACGCTATGAAAAGAATCCGTCTGTGAAAGTTCCTCCTGCGACCACCCCGGCCCAGCCTGATGAACTGTCCGCTGTTCGGGCATTGTTAGCGGAGACAGAAAACCGCCTGCGAAACGAGAGGGACCAAAACAAGAGTCTACGGGAGAGTGTTGCGTCTTTGAGACAGGTCCAGGAAGAAAGGGATGCACAGAATAAGGAGTTGGAAGAAGAAGTAGATTTTCTGCAGAAAATGCTAGAAGAGGCGGATGAAAGGTTTGACGCTGAAATAACAGACAACACTTTTGCATACCCTTTACACACCCAGGCCCCCACAGGGCGGCGACACATGTCATTGGAGACCTTGAACGATGGAAGAGAAAGAATGAACCACAGCCCTGCGAGAAGATGTCTGTCATTTGAAGATACCCACTCGGAGGCAGTGATAAACACTCACAGAATGCCACAAGGTAGAGTAGAAACCCGTCACAAGGGAGGACTTAGTGTCAGTCAACCAAATCTCTTCACCAGCCACAGCAAAATGGCAGAATATGCCCCGATAGGACACGCGAGCTACACTACGCCAGGCAGACCCGCGGCAGGTGGGCAGGAGTGGCGGCAAAGTCCCCGCGTACAGCAGATTACCGCAGACCTGCAGTCTAAGCTGCACGCAGCTGAGGAAGACCTGCAACGAGAACGGGGCAGGTGCGTCGACAAAACACGGGAGATTCACGATTTAAGAGCGAAACTAACCAAGGAAGCAGAGAGTAAGAAAAAACTACAAGTGTCGTTTGCCATGCTGCGGTCCCGAATGAAAGAACTACTGGACAAAGTTCATGTAGAAGAAGACAGACATAGATTAGAGAAGCGGTCCTTGCTACAGGAGATCTCAGAGCTACGAAACCAAACCGGGGCAGGTAAAACGTCGGCAGATGAATCCATACTGTCGTCACCCGAGAATTCGCCCTCGTGCGACTTCCCGTTTTTCGTCATGTCTCCCGAGATCTCTCAATCCTCAGACGACGTGTCGGTAGAATCAGGACTGTTCCCATGGGGAGGGGACAGAGAAGACGATGGTGCAGGTGACGGCCTTGTGGGTGACCTGACGTCACGGCTGCGGGCCAGGGAGGACGAACTTCGCGCTGAGGCGATGAAAGCGAAGGCACGCGGGCGGGAAATCGTCCGACTGAGGAAAGAGGTTGTGAGACTGAACAGTGCACTACTGGAACGAGAAAAAATGCACAGTTCTCCTTTGTATCGGACCAGGTCCGAAACAAACGTCTGAGAGGATATTTACGAACAAACTTATTACTATTATTAGAAACGAGGGATTCAGTTACCCCGGCCCCGCCATGACATTTTCTACCCTTTTACCCCATCGTGAAATTAGCCTTCGGGGATCAGTTTGCAAAGAAAGTTTACATTTACGACTGATACTGAATGATCTGGAAAGAAAATGTAGTCAACAGAAGTGTGATCTCTGAAGTAAAATTCTCCAAGCTAGTAGAGACAGTAGATATTGGAACAATTATGTTCAAGAACAGATATTGCCTTTCCGTGTCTGTTCAAGTCATAGCTGGGTTTGCCTTTGTCATGTTTCCTATTTGGAAGTTGCAGCTTTCCGGTTCATTTCTGCTATCTCAGGTCTGCCCCAGGAAGGATGAGGAAATGACTTCGTGTCGTTAATTTGAATAAAGAAAATACAGTACTTTGAACTACAGAAGAATACTTGTGTTTGTAAACATTTATCGCGAAACTTAATTGATACATTTCAAAATGATGTTGACGCTGTTTAAGGCCCAGACTGGAATGACGTCCACCAAGAAGAACCATGGCATGGCCTCAGTTGCAAAATGTCACACATAATGGGCTGGGACGGTAATAACAGCTGGGATGGATTTCCATCAAAGTCACAACTTGAAAAACACGTCAGAAGTCGGATTCTTTTGTACAAGAGAGGCGTCAATATATCACTCCGATGTCTGTTCCAAAGGTTGTTTTCTTCCCACGATACGAAATGTTTGGCTTTTATCTGAATCACAGGAGAAATAGATCATTGAAATCATAGGCAGTCAAAGATAGGCATTGTGACCCATAAACGCTCAACATCCAGGCAATGAAATAGTAGTATCAATAAGGTGGAATTTCGTTCTTTTATATGAGTTCTAGTACTATAATGCGTAATTTGTCCCAAAGGACTGGGTCCAGTGCACAAAATATACATATATTCTCAGTGACGTATTCTTTACTCTTTTGTACGACAAGACGACTTGCTTAATTGTCTCTTTGTGTTCAATTTGCTGTTTGTATTTATTGTATTGAATTGGTCCAGAAGGATGGCGGGCTTTGATACGGGCCAGCCGTAGAGCTGCTATATCTTTAACCCAATTCAGACCGTTTTTTGGGGGGGCATGCTCAAAAAAGCTGCATGCCTATTGGTTCTTGCTCTGCATGCCAGACTCAACTGATGACTCATGGATAGTCATCCCCAACTATATCATAAATTGTGACCTAAAAACGGTCAAAAAGTCCTAAATTATACACGTTTAAGGGAGAGTATGCCAAAAATTACAATTAATTGTTGTTGGCAGATATATAAAGCATACCCATACCAAATTTGGGTCTCCACGACCCAAAATGGACAGATTTTGTCTGAAAATATATAGCCTAAAAGCCATATTTTACACAACTTCTAAGTTGTGTATGTCAAAAGCGTGAATGGCATTCTTTGGACATGTGTCCAAGGTATCCCCATACCGAATTTCAGGTCATTCGGATTTAATATTTGGGCACAGGAGCCAAACATTTTTTTGTCTGAAAATAACCAAAAAGCCCTATTCTAAACAATTTTAAAGTGGTGTATGTCGAAAGCTTGAATGAGATTTTGTAGACATATGTCCAAGGTATCCCTATACCAAATTTCAGGTCATTTGGTTTTATTACCAGGGCTCCAGATTCCAAAACGTATATTTTTTGCCTGAAAATGGCCAAAAAACTCAAATAAAACAATTTTTCAAAAAAATGAAAAAAAACGCCTGGGGCTATTTGCCCACTCTACCTTCATGCCAAATTTCATGTCATTTGGCCCAAAAATGAAGAAATTGAATGGCAACGAAATGGCAGGAGAAGGAGAAGGAGAAGAAGAAACACGAGGAAAAACAATATGACTTCACCACATAGTGGGTATACATAGCCGGAAAACTCAGTGGAACACAACCAAACTTAAACAAAAATCAATCAATCAATCAATCAAGTGGTTTATTGATAAAACGAGGAATTTGCAGCCACAGGCTGAATTACATCCTGTTGTACAATTAATTCATTTTAAAATTCATTAGTATACAGTAAAAATCATCATAGTTATTTACAATTATTAGCATTAAAACTTGGTTACACAATCATTAAGATCTAAAACACTGATTGATTTATAAAATTGCTACAGGAGGGACAACATTACTTTGACGTTCACTTTACAGACATTACATACAGATAACAATTCATGTACTTATAGATGATTATTTAAAAGAGATATCATATATGGGATACTGCTGTTCTTATAGCGTTCGGTTCTAGCCTTGGGACAGTCAAGTAGATTGCTGGAGCGTGTGGTTCGTCCAGTAGTGTTCCACGTGTGGGTGGTAGCCAACTGCGGAATTCTTTGGACTACAAGTTTCTTAGCG